TTTCATCCCTGGGGCCCCTTGGGGAGACATCCCCGTGATCCACCAGAGATGGGGCTCATGGCCAAGGTTCTTGTAGTGAAATRGAGAGCATAGAAAAGTGACAGCAACAACAGAGGGCATTAACAGGACCTYACCCTTATTTAGGAAGATGCCCAGAAAAGAACGAGGACATCCTGACCAAACCATGTGCATTATCCCCACAGGRTTCTATTGTCCAAGCCCAGTGGCACTTCTCCTGCGCCAAGTCCCACCGAGGAACGTCCTTTGTGAGCAGTGCAGAGCTTGGCCATCTGCCTTCCGGGCACTGCCTGTACCATCCAACTTGGCCGATCCTACCGGCAAGCTTCCTGCTTCGTTTCACCCCAGCCCCAGGGGGATCTCTGCGGGGCAGAAATGAGTGGTTTGTGTAGTTGCTTTGTAGAAGGCGTTTGTAACTTTGAAGTGATGCTTTTTCCTGTGTGCACCTAAACTCCCCCAAAAAACGGTCTCTTTGGTAATGTAAATGAAATGCAAAGCCTTGAACAGATGTGTCCTGTGTTTCCTGTCACTTCTGTAGAACTACTGTCCTCCAGCACATGAGGGTGAAGGACCTTGGCCACCAAGGCCAGGCTGCAGTGCTGGGATACGAGCTGGGTTTCTTCTGCAGGGCTTTGAGATGAAAGCTCTCCCAGCTCTCTGTCTCTCCCACCTTGCAAATCCTGCCACCATTCTGTGCTTGGTGCTGGGATCCCAAACTGCTCTCCAGCATCCTTTCTTCCCTCCTTGCCTCAGTGCCCCAACCCAATCAGTACCTGCATATCTCATCCCTTGTCCTACATTCATCCAGCCCTTCATACCCAGCCCCATGTCCTCTCCTGTAGACAACCTGCTGGAATCCTCACAGGCCCCGGCAAAACTGAGGGGGTAATTCTGCCTCATCCCTGCTTGGCCATGACACACTCCAGAGATGGGAGCAGAGGAGGAAGTGGGGATGCTGAGCTCAGGTAGAAAGGCAGGACTTTCCTCACCTTCRATCCCTGTGAGCTGTGGGGATGCCAAGGGCAAAGCACTCACTGGGTGGGTGGGCAATAGCTGCAAGCTCTTTACAGGCAGGCTGGAGTCCTACTGAGCTGAGCACCAGAGGGAGGTGTCCCCTTGCCTATTCAGGATGTTTWAAAAAAACCTAATTTGTTCAAATAGTGCTGCTTTGGCTGAACAAACACTGGTTCTCCATCAGCTTTCCACTTTTGATTGTAAAACTGAAGATCTCCGAGCATGTGTGGTGAGAGAATTGTCACCATGCCCTGTGCTGCAGGCTCCAGCTGTGTTGTTTGTGTTGCTGCACRTGCTCTCTGAATCTGCCATATGACAAAAGTGAAATAAATTCTTCAGGCTGAAATCAGAGATTTAGCAGCTCTAAAAGTCTCCATCTAAAATGAACAGATGTTCTGCATATGGTAGTCCTGTTTCCTGCCATCTCCTGGAGGCAGCTTCATGCCTTGGTCACGTGTTCAGGTTAACCTCTTTATAAAGGCCCAGATTGCTCAGCAACAATTGAAGATCCACAGGGCTGTAAAAGGAAGAMAAAGGCAGGAACTTCCTGCCATGCTTTTATTTTAGTGAAACTCTAATTGCACAGAAAATAAAAGAGAAAAATAGTTCTGTTTAACWGTGGAATGCACTGTGGCCAGCTCAGATCTCAGGTACTACCCATCAGCCATGCACCCGGAGAAGGTGGGTGGAGCTGATAAATGGCTGGAAGGTACCWGTTAGGAATGTTGACAGTGTTTGCACAGCACGCGGTGTTTGATTTAGGAGTGGCTCCTGAGCTGCAGTTTCTTAAACAGAGGCTGCCGATTCAATACATTAAGGAAATAAATATTTTATAAATACTTTTATGGATAGTGCTATTTTCCAAACTGATGCACAGTCACAGTATCTGAGAATGATTTGGGCTGGAAGGGACCTTGAAGATCTTCTAGTTCCAAACTCCCCTGCCATGGGMAGGGATGCCACCCACTGCATCAATTTCATCAGGATCCCCATCCAACGTAGTCTTGAACACTCCCAGGGGTGGGGCAGCCATAATTTCTCTGGGCASCCTGTGACTGTGCCTCAGCACCCTCTAAGTAAATTCATGTACCAGCACAGAGTTGTTCCAGCTCACTGTTACACTGTTTTCAAAAAAMCACATATGTATTCCCCACAAAGCCAGAGTCAAGTTATTAGTCTTTGATAACCCCAAATTTCTAAGCATTAATATGATTATTCTTATGATTCATAGTGTGGTTGCTCATCCAAGGTCCAAGCACAGGCTAATTCTTCCATGCAAGAACAGGGAAAGTATGGTCCCTTCCTGAAAAAGCTTACAGTCTTGGAAATATCTCTTGTACATCAAATAAAACCTGTAGGTGAGCAGAGCAATCAGACCAGTATGTTCATCACCCTGAAGGACCAGCTGTGGTTGGCAGAGCAGTTAGAAGAGAGTTGTGGACATGAGCTAGCAACTATTCCTTTTGCTAAAATGGTAAGGATCTCTGTTGTGGCATTGAAGGTTTGGCCTCAAATGACATTAGACACCCTTGATTTTGATTTARGGAAACCTTTCAGATGAACTTTTGGGCAAGGTAAACTCATGTACTATGCTTTACCCTTCCCTGGTGAAAAGCTCGTGTGAGCAGAGAGATGCTGGTCCACCTGTCTATGCAGTTCTGCAGCTGCAGAAGGTAAGGTTATCACCTCCAGCATTGAAGACGTGGTGGACATGAACTCTGACAGCTATAACCAGGACATTTCCTGAAACACCTTCATAAGCCAACCCAAAGAATGGGATTTGCAGGACTTAAAGGTCCAGAACATGCAGATCTTCCAGGTCTCCCTGTTTTCCAGTAAGCACTAATCTCTTAAAATTTATTACAAGTCATAAAACCTGGGGTCCCAAGCAGACCTCACTGATGCATCCAGCACTACCAATTCTGCTGGTCTGGCAAAAGGAAAATTTAATCTTTTCTATTCAAAGCAGCAGATATCACTCAAACAGAGGTTATCATTGAGGATCCCTCAGGATGCTTCAAAGAACCAGAAGCAAAATRTAAAATGGGTTCAGTGAGAGGTTTTCCCAAATGCACAAAGCACTCAAAGGGTCTGGGCCCAGCTTTGATGGAGCCTTTTGTGAGGACAGGCTTTTTTCTCAAGGTGGGTTCAGTCAATGCAAATTCTAACYATTTTTTCCTCTGTGCCTAATGCTCCTGCTAAGATCAATGCTATCTTCTGAGAGGCTATAGATCCAGCAAGATCCCCRGAGTATTCAGAATCAACAAAGCCAATGTCCATGAGCACAATGCAGATTTTGTGCAAATTATTCCCTTATATATACTACGCTGTCAACTGTCATCATCTCCCCCAGGAAGATTTTTAGGAAGCGCTGTGTTTGTCTGAGATATTTTCTTTGGTTCCAGGAAGCAGTTTGAAATGAAAAATAGTGAGGCAAGGTTGTTASAGAAGATAACACTTTATTAGACCAACAGAAAYTGGGAAAAAAATTGAAAAAAACCCCACAAGCATGTKGAAACATCAGCTGAATCTGGCAGAAATGGGAATACCTCATGTGCCCTAAAGCATGGMTAGTTTTATCCATCTGTATCAGCTGATCTAATAAAAGTTATTGTCTCTCATTACAAACATAACATTACATTTCTGGACAATCATGCCCATGGCAATTTTACCACTGTAATGACACAGAAAGATGCAGAAGTGACAAGTGGCCTCAAGGCAAATTTGAAAGCAACAATGCACCTAGAAGTACCTAGAAGGAAATAAAGGAGACGCTGCAGGGCTGTGGTCTGGTTCTGCAGAGGTTATTTAGGCTTGCTCTGATGTAATACTCTGCATTTCATAAATTAACACAAACAAAGAATCATCACAGAATCACAGAACAGTTTGGATTGAGAAGGAGCCTCAAAGATTATCCAGTTCCAATTCCCCTACCATGAGCAGGGATACCTCCCACTRGACCAGGTTGCTCAAAACCCCATCCAACCCATTCTTGTACATTTCCAGGGATGGGGCATCTGCAGCTTCTCTGGGCAACCTGTGCCAGTGCCTTATTTCCCTCGCAGTAAAGAACTTCTTCCTTGTATCTAATCTAAATCTCTCCTCTTTYATCTTCAAACTGTTTCCCTTTGCCCTGTCACTATGTGCTCAGGCAAAAAATCACTCTCCTTTCCTTATAAGCCCCCCTKTAAGTTCTCACAAGTTCATGTTCTCTGCATCCTTGTGACTGTTTTGATTTTGTGATAATCTTACAACCACTAAATCTGTGGTACTGTCCACATTCTTTATTTGGGGGATAAAGGATATTAGCAAACAATGTCATGCAAAGATAATAATCAAGCATTTACGACCAATTGAAAAGAATAGTTTATCCTCAATCAGAGATTCAGGTTTGGTTTTATCTGCCTTACACAAATTACTCATTGTCCAGAAATKGTATGGGCGAGGAAGAAAACGCTACCACCTTGGACAGATTGTAGAAATGTCATCAGTGGAAATGACAAATTGGATCAATGAAATTGTTTGGGATAAACTGTGCTTTAAAACAGCAGTGCATGAAGGCCAAAAAGCTGCGAAAATGTTTACTGGTTTTATATATAATATATAATAATAATAATATATATATAATATAATAATAATATTTATATATTATATATAATATTTATATATATTATATATTATATATAATATTTATATAGAATATAATAATAATAATATAATATATAATATATTATATATAATCAGTCGTCAAGGCTGAGGTGGACACACGAGCACACATTGCAGGGCTCCTTGGAGGTGCTCTGGGCACTGGGCCTCCCTTGRAAGGGATTATTCGGCCCTTAGTCACCACTCAGATAGCAGTGCAGGAGGTGTGCATTGGCACCCAGCCCGAGTCCACCCCGCACCTTGCTGGTTGCCAGAAATCTAATGAGCAAATACTTCCGCTTTCAGGCTGTCCCCTCCCCTCTCCCTACACCCGCCACTGGAACCAGGACCGTGCCTCAGACAAGCCGGAGCCTCCGAGGCAGCAGCTGGGTTGGGAGCAGGGGAAAGCTGAGCCAACAAAGAAAGACCAAGTGAAAGAGGATTGGAGCACCGCTGGGACACATCCTGTGAGTGACAGGGGTAGGACACTAGCACTGAGCAGCAGGTTTTCCCAAACAGCTGAGCCCTCGGCTCCTGGGGAAGATGAGTATTTCGTCGGAGCAYAAACCCCTTGGGAAGCAGGTCACTGGCAGCCTGCACACGGTGAGTAGGGTATGGGCTCAAGAACACAATTCCTGCATGTGGAATCAAAGCACCCCTGCTGGGCTACATTTGAGTGGGTTTTCCCCCCATATGTTAATCTGAAATCACCAGGGTCAGTCAGATACACCCCTAAAAAGAAGWTTCTAGTTAAAAAGCTGTGTCTGACTCTGGCCTGTTTGCACCTGTTGTGTTACAGAAGGGCCAGGTCTCTCACAGGCATGCAAGATCTGGATACAGCAAATAACCAGAGTGGCTCTTCTCCTTTAGCAAGAGATGGAAATCAATTAACATTAACTTTAATTGGTCATATCCCTAAATAAAAGCCTGTTGTAGGTTTTGGGGGGTTTTCAAAGATTCTTATGAGTCTCTAATTATGCAAAAGATGCCCTGTGTTGTTGACAACAACAGTTGCAGAATCATCAGGTGGGAGCAGTAGTTTTTCTAGCTATAAGGATATTTATGGCAGTCTCAGACAAAGAAGCAYGTTACTAGACAGAAATCAATGATGACATTATTTCCTTTTACTCTTTTCTGTTGCTCAGTCTATTGCTAACSTATTTGTCTTCTTGGCTAATGCTGAACAATCTCTTCTCCAGACCTCTCTGTATTAAAAAAAAACAAAAAAAACAACCTTCTTGTGTTGTACCTCTCACATGTAGGTTGCAAAATGCTCCCCCATGGAAGTAACTGTTTTACAGATTAATAAACTGGGGGACAAATAGATGGAATGACTTACCTGAGTGTCACCTTGCTGGCTAATCACATAACTGGGAATCAGCTGATGCCAGCACTCCCTATTCATCGGGAACCACTTTGGTGCCAAGCTAAAACCATTAATCTAGATCTGAGAACATAAAGTTAGTTGGGCTACTGTATTAAGGAATAACATGTTATCCATTTGTATTAATGACAMTATGAAACATCTGATATGYCATCTGAAAAAGGAGGAAAGGCTTRAAAGCCTGAGACCCTTCTGTYAAGTGATCCCTGGTRGGGAGAGCTGTTGGTATCACTTGGATTAATGGCAAATCTCCTAAGGAGAGACTTCACTACAGAAACAGCTTTGGGCTGTGTTTTTYAGTGGGTGGAAATCCCAAGATAGTCTCAGACAGAATAGTACTTATCTCCTTGACCCAAGGTAAATTATTGCTCTTGAGATGAAACCACCCATGCTAGTGCAAAACAATATTTCAGCTGGGTCTTTGGCCTTGATCTTCTGTTGCTTCCTTGGCTTGCTTAAGCTATAAGCAAATTTCTGCTAAATCTGATAGTTTGCAATTGTTTAAAGGGAAGGTCTCCCCCTGCACCAAGCTGTCTKTTYCTWGTCCCATACTTTRGTCAGGTTTCTGCTTGTTAAATSCCCTGTGAGCCAATCTGGCTCACTRAGATGAAAGAGAAGYAGAGCTGGCACGAGGTGAACAACAGAGCACATAGGTAGTACAAGAACAGGAAGGGGAGAGGGCGCAGGAGCCCCCCTGCCCTTGGTGTGGGCTGCGAGATCAGCTCACGTCATCCTGTGAGTCTGTAGCCATGTTATCCAGCTAAGCACTTAAGTACACACTTCACCTGAGGCATGTGACCAGCAGCACTGAGGCAAATCCTTGTGATCAGATCCAAGAAAGTGCAGGTGAGCTCCTGGAAAATAGAGTTGTTTATTGACTCACGCCTTCTCAATGGCAGGCGTGGCTCCAGCCTGGCTTGTGACTTGCATTACAGCAGTGCTGGCAGGGGAGAAAATAACTGCCTTCTTTCTTCCCTCTTCTTTCCATCTGCTGAGTACTACATAAAATGACCTAGTGCAAAAGGAAGCTAGTAACATTTTGCAACACTGAACTTACAGAACATCACACTGGACATCAGGTCCAGTTTTCCGGATATTCAGGCCTAGTCCAATTCAGGTAATGGCGTTAATACACAGGAGAAAAAAAATGCCAACAAACCCACAATCTTTGCATTCTTCCCTCTTAAATGCATGTCAKTTGCATGAAATGCTTCCTTTACTTCCTAACTAAAGGCATCATACATTTATAAGTGCTTTGCTAACATCTCCTGTCCTGCACCTTTGACATGATGGATCTTTGTGTCTTACTTAAGTGTTTGTAGCTTAACCCCCAGAGGAGTGGAAGTCAATTCCACCTATTTATAAAGTTTTAAAGAGCTTTATTTCCTCCTTTGAAAAGAAAAGAACAGTTCAGGTGAAATGAAGTGGCACAGCTTTGGGCTGTATCCTTGTCGCTCTGCATATGGGGTGGGTGAGAGCTCATGTACTGCTCTTGCTTTAAGGACAGTGACCCACAGGGATAACGTTTGACTGGGACTTGGATCACTGTTCAGTCTTATAGTCACTCACAGCTTCCCTGGGCAGGGTACTTCTTTTCCTTCTTTCCCACTGGGAAAACACCACTTTCCTACATCCCAAAGATGCAGTGAGGACTTAGCCAYTTAGAAATGTCCAAGTCTCTGCTACCCTGGTTGCAAGGACTGTAAAACCATCCTGCATCTGCTTTTTGCAGTAAGTCTGGTGGAGTTTTCCATCTGATGCCCAAGAAATCAGAGCTTTTAGTGCTCTTCCTACCTTCATTCCTCTTCCAACCACAATCRTCTTTCTTTTCCTTGACAATTCCATGTTGATGACTTCAGACTGGTAATGCATATGGCTTTTTATTCCCTTGTGATACTTACAGTTGTCACCAATTGTGGAGTTAAATGTCGGTGGGGAGATGTACACGACAACACTGAGCACCTTGAAGAAACACCCAGGCTCCAAGCTGGCAGAGATGTTCACTGGCCAGCCMAAACTCAGGACTGACTCCGAAGGGAGGTTCTTCATCGACAGGCCAGGCACTTATTTCAAATACATCCTGGAGTACCTGCGCAGTAACCAAGTGCCCACCCAATGCATCCAGGATGTCTACAAGGAGGCTTTGTTCTACGACATAGAGCCTTTGATCAAGCAGCTCGAGGACTCCCCACAGATCTTCGGAGAGCTCGTGGCGAGGAGGCAATTTCTGGCTCGTGTGCCCAACTACAGTGAGAACATTGAGCTGATGATCCGCATCGCGAGGGCGGAAGCGGTCGCATCCCGACAGTCCAACGTCATCGTGTGCGTGGTCAAAACTGAGGAGGACGCAGCCAGATGTCAGGATTCCTTGAACAGTTTGGACATGGATAAAAAATCCGTGGTGAAGTTTGGCCCCTGGAAAGCTGTGCCAAGTATTTCTGATCTGCTGGACTGCATTCAAATGGATGTTGAAGCCAAAGGGTATAAAATATCCTTTCAGCCCCACGTTGCTGAAAAAGGTTTTCGCTTCAAATCACATGACTTTTTCTATAAGTTTCTGTTCACCTGGTGGTAGCAAAGTGCCACCATTGATGGGGACAGAAGAATGTAGTTATTAGAACAAATTAACCTGAGCTGTGGAGACCAAACCATGGGCTACCAGAGGGACAGGAAGAAACACACAGGCCATTGAAAGGATCTCCTTTGTCTGTTTGCCATATCAAAGAGCACATAACAGCCACTCTGCTTGGGCTTTAGGGGATAACTTTTTAGGGGATTTAAAAGGCTTCAGGAAAAGGAAGAATTTTACACTTCRGTGTTGCTTACTATTCATTCAGATCAAAGAGATCGATCTGTGAATTGTGCCAACCTCACTCATGGGAAGTGAACAATCCCAAGTAAGCCTCATAGACATGTAGAGATGGTCTCTCAGTGCAAATGGGAACAGGGTGCATATGTGCAAATCGTGACTAAAGCACATGCTCAAATTAATTTGGATTCTTAATGAGAAGGCAGAAGCTATTCTTCTCCCTCCTTTCTACRCTGGAATCTGCRTTAAAAGGAAGGATTCAGTGTCCTRTGATCTCTTCTTGTTCCTCCAGTAGACAGCCTACTCTCTAGTCARTGTATTTATTACCATTATTTATTATTTGTTCTGAAGGAAAAACAGAGAACCTCAGCTATGGTTCAGGATCAACAAAAGGCAAAAATACCACCACTGATGTGAGAAACTTATAATCTAAGGACATGCATTCCTCTTTCAGGCCACACAATTTTAATATCTTTCTTATGACACTCATAATTATGATGATGCTATTTCTACCTTTATATAAGCTTCTGCAAGAATTGGGAAAACCTGCCATAATTTGGTGGGAGGGAAGCACAGGAAGCAGCCTGAAAATTGTCTTTTACAGAACACAAATTGTATTCTAYATTGTGTTTTTAAAAGTCTCAGAATTTGAAGGTTTATTTTTATACTGGAGATGGCTTGGTTTTAATCACTCTGAAAATCATAATGGCTAATTGGATAAAGATCATAGTTCCTTTACTTCTCAGAAGATGCATTTCTTCCAGTTAAGGTCCGCAGAAGAATCATAGAATGGTCCCTGGGATTTCAAATAAATAAAATCTTTTTGAATTATACAGAAGTGCTTTATTTACTGACATTTTCCCCACAAGATCCCCAGTTTCTGAAGACCTGAAGTTTTGTCTTTAGGGTAACAGATTTGAATAATTCCTAATTAGACTGYGTTTCAGATGTGCTCATCCTAGCATGGACCTTCCCCACAGTGACAGCAAGGAGTCACTCCATCGACTGCAGGGCAGTTCTGCAGAAGGTGTGAAGGGACTCTGAGATCTCCCACATTCATAACCTTGGTAAGAACAGACAAAGCCAGTGTCTAAGAGCACAAAAATGTTTAGAAAGCAGGCTCTTTTGATCATAACCACGTGGCTGGTGGCACTCAGCCTGGAAGAAGAGAGACTGAGGAGGCCTCCCAATAGACAAAAAAGGCTGCTTTGAAGAGATCTGTTACAGTTTGATCATACTAAGGATGGGGAAACTGGTTTAAGTCACAACAAGGTAGATGAAAATTAGATATTAGGAGGAAACAATCTTACTATAGGGTAGTTAAAGCCTCACACCAACCAATCTCCTAAGTTTATMGGACTGCTGCCATGAGAAACTTTAATTGGCACACACATAAATCCTGTGTTCAGTTCGGGGCCTCTCACTCCTTTGAAGGGCACTGAGGCCCTGGAATGTGCCTAGAGAGGGGCAACAGAGCTGGGGAAGGGCTCATGGGTGGATGACGACTGCCTGAAGGAGTTGGGGGTGTTTATCCCAAAGAAAAGGAGGCTTGGGGGGACCTTATTGCTCCCTACAACCCCCTGAAAGGAGGGTGTAGCCAGGTGAGGGACAGGACATGAGGAAATGGCCTTAAGTTGTGCCAGGAAAATAATCAGGAAAATTTATTAACCAAAAGGGTGGTCAGGCATTGGAAGAGGATGCCCAAGCAATTGGTCGRGTCACCATCCMTRGAAGTGCTCAGAWAATGTGTGGATGTGGCACCTGGGGACAGAGTTTAGTGGCGGGCTTGGCAGTGCAGCATTAATGGTTGGCCTTGATGATCTTAGAGATTTTTTTTTACTTTAGTGATTCTGTGTTTCTGATGGAAATAACTTTTCTAATTATTTTAATTATTTTAACTAATCATAAGCAGCATATTATTCATAAGCATTGTATCAGTCTTAAGTCACTTTTAGCCAGCACGTGGCTACGTTTCTTTACACAGTCTTTTATTGTTACAAAGTGATTGGGAAAATCACTGAAACTTTAAGTTTTGCTAAACTAACCCTGACATGCTTCGATGAACAAAACCTGTGGGAGAGTGATGTATTTCTGAAATTGGATGCAAGAAATGCAGGACTTGTAGACTACAGGGGCATTTTGGAAAAACAAGAAGATAAAAACAGACTGACATATACTCTTAAGTATGTGCTGGAAAACTCCCTACTTGGGAAAAAGATAATAAAAAGACTGAATAATRTGGACTAACGAGCATGAAATGCAAGAATAAATAACCAATAGAGGACAGAGTACTAATGAATTAAGAGAATTATGTAATTTAGGTCCAATGAACATTAGTTTCWTTGCTTGCTTAAAAAGTAGAAATAAGTGGAAAAGTTGCGAGTGGGAGGTGGGGAGAAATTCTGTGATTCTCTGAGTCAGCCCCTTCCAAATCCCCTTGACCCTAAGACGTGACCAAACTGTGGCCACTTCTGGCTACYTCTGGCCACGCAGTGCCACAGGCAGTGTCCCCTGTCACCTAATCGGGCACAGGTCTCCTGGGCGGCTCCTCAGTGCCGGCGCCTCCTTCCCCTCTTCTCCAAGGAGACACGTGTGAAGGCCCGACTAATCTTTCCTGAGTGTCTAACACAACAACAAACCATGTCATTTATACCTTTTTATACAGCCTAAACAGCGYGGGGCACACGCCCTGGCTGGATCCGGCTGCGGGGGCGGGCCGAGCCACGGCCACCATCTTGGGTCCGCGTCCCCATGGCAACGGGAGGCCGCCGGACCATCGAGTGCGGCCTCCGGGCGGAAAGAGAGGATGCGCCCCTGGCCCCGCCCTGTGGCCCCTCTATGGCTCCTCTTCCGGGTTGCGGGCGGTGTCATGGCGGCGCACCTGAAGAAGCGGGTGTATGAGGAGTTCACCAAGGTGGTCCAGGTAACGCCTTCCCGCTGGGCCGGGATGGATGCCTCCGAGCTCTGCCGTGCRGCGGGAGGTGTCGGCGGGTGAGGCGGAGGTGTGGGGAAATCGGCCGGCCCAGCCTGGGGCCGAGTCTGGGAGCGCCCACCGCCYGCCCCGCGTCGGGCCTGGGGCGGCCCATGAGGGGTTGGAGAGGTGCGGGATGGGTCGGCTTCGAGTTTAGGGAGGCTGGAGCTGCCCGGAGGGAAGAAGTGTGCGGGAGGGGGAGGGTGCGTCCCTCAGGGCGGGGAGGAAGAGAGATGGTGGAGTCTCTGTCACTGGAGATACTCAGAGACCGTCCGGATAGTGTCCTGTGCAATGTGCTCTAGAATGGCCTTGCTTGAGCAGGGAGCTTGGACCAGATGATCCACTGTGGTTCCTTCCATCCAGACCCATTCTGTGAATCTGTAACTTGGGTTGGGCTGCGACTGCTGCAGGGAAGATGAGGCATCCTCTAGGCCGGGWTTGGGGAAGGAACTAGAGCAAGTTTCTGGGCTACTCCAGGCCGGTGGGAGGAGGAGAAGTCGTATTTTCCCTCTGTTGGATTTTGGTATTTGAAGCAGCAGGATTTGACCTAGCTTAGGGTGGGGAGAGGCTGTGTTTCCCGAGGATAGGGAGTACCTGGGCAGAACAGTAACAGCCACAGTGGTCTGGGGGATGTGTTTCTTTCTGAGACAGGCGAGGGAGAGGCTAGTGACTGCCGTGGGACACAGGAGCTTCCTTAGGCCTCCCCATATTCAGTCTGGGAAGGAGTGGGTCTGGATTTGTTGTGTTTCTGAGCCGTGTCCCTCTGCCCACAGCAGCAGCATGAGGACCTGTCCACTAAGAAGCTGCGGCTGACCAAGCCCAGCAAGTCAGCAGCGCTTCATGTCGACCTGTGCAAAGCCACCTCGCCTGCAGATGCCCTGCAGTACCTGCTCCAGTTCGCCAGGAAGCCCGTGGAAGTGGAGAGTGTGGAAGGGGTTGTCAGGATCCTGCTGGAGCATTATTACAAGGTGGTGAAGCTGGGAGCCAAGCATGCTTGCTCCTTCTGGTCTGGTTTTCTTGGTGTGGGATGTGGGACAGGGGTACACAGGCTCCTGTGTTGCTGACTCAGTTGCCAAGAGCCTGGGCTGAGAGTGAACGACYGTAGCCCTTTACCCAGATGATATCTGATGGTGTTACTTGGTCCCTCTGCTGATGGTTTCAGGAGCCTGTGACAAGACTGTGGCAGTGTTATCCCTGCACATGGCCTRTGTGGAAGATAACTTGACAAGGAATAAAAGACATGTCAGGTTTTCCAGGGAGCCTGGCTGTCCAGAGCCTTTTCAACTTTATCTGAATCTTTCCTGACTGATGTTTCCTTACSTCATTCTTAGTTTCCTCTGGCAGTGGAGAAACATTTTAACTATTGCTTGTGCTGTGTRAAAAAAGCACTTTTAAAATCATAGAATGCTATGGSTTGGAAAGGACMTTRAAGACCATCTAGTTSCAACTCTCTATTATGGTCAGGGRCACCTTCAACTGGACCACTTTGTTCAAAGCCTCATCCAGCSTGGCYGTGAGCACTTCAAGGGATGGRGCAKCTGTAACTTCTCTGGGTGACTTGTGCCAGTGCCTCAYCACTCTCACAGGAAAGAATTTCTTCCTAATATCTAATATATTAAGAGAACTGTCAGGTATCAGGCTTTTCTTCATTTAACAAGTGGCAGGAAGAGAAAACAGCCTGAGGTTGCACCAAGGAGGTTTAGATTGGATATTTGGAAAAATACCCACATTGAAAAGCTTGTCAAGCACTGTAACAGGCTGCCCAGGGCAGTGGCTGAGTCACCATCCCTGAAGGTATTTCAAAGACTTGTAGATGTGACACTTGGGGACACGATTTAGTGTTGGCTTTGGCAGTTCTGGGTTGAAGGTTGCGCTCAATGATCTTAGAGGTCTTTTCCAACATCAATAATTCTGTGATTCTGTGAAATACAAAGTTCCTGGTCACATAACACATTGTTTGTGCTTCAAGTTTGTTTTGTAGCCTGTATTACAAGAGAGACTCGTGAACCTGCAGATGAGATCAGTGGAAAGAGCATAATCTGTTAGAAAATCCAGCTTTTAGAAATACTGCTTTTAAAACTATTGTAGCTAACATTATTAAAGACAAAACTTCCAAATTAACTTGTTTCTTAGTATCTCTGCAACACTTGCACTTTTCCTGATCATCCAGAAACCTGACCTTGAAAGCTGGAGGTTACGTGATGGTTTGTTTGTTTGTAGTGTCATTGTTTAAGATGGTGCTGCAGCCTCCTGCTCCTTCATCCCTATCCATTTTGGTAGGGCAGTCCTGATGACAGTATCCATTGTTCAAACACATAACTTCAACCCTAAAATAGAAAATGCTTCCCAGTTTAGTGGAGAAAGGAACTACTCCCTTGGATGTCACACTTGTCACTTGGAGGCTGTGTGTGGCACTGAAGTCTCTCTCAAACCCTTGAAAGATGTAAAGTTGTAATTGTAAAATTTCTTGTTGAAAGATGCAATAWTTGTTATTAYRATATTTCTACACCTTGTTGTTCAGYGTTGCACAAATGCTTGGTAAGATCTAAKTATGAYATCCAGATGACTTTTTGTCTTTCTRCCCTGTATTRGSTATCCTTGGCAATACAGTRGAWGAGGRARCTTCCAATTATGACCAGAAGTCYTGTGTGCMTGAGTCTGTAGMAATAAAATATTWATAAATTAAWKYTTTTAAATRCATGAACTTTTGAAATTAATTTTATAGAAGTATTAATTGGTGAAGCTTACTTATATAATTGTCACCCATGCCAGCATTTGCTGTTACTTAAATGAGTAGATGTATGCAGGTAATATATGCTGGTAAGTTATTTRTTCTTTAACCTTGATGTGTTGGGGGGTTTTTGGTTGTTGTTTCCTTCCAGGAGAATGATGCCTCTGTAAGACTGAAGATTGCATCCTTGCTGGGGTTGTTGTCAAAGACTGCAGGATTTTCCCCAGACTGCATTGTGGATGATGCCATTAACACACTGCAAAATGAGAGTAAGTCTCACTTCTGAGGTGSCGCTTGAGATGAAGGTGGAATCATGCTGTTGAAGCATTTGGGACAGTGGTAAGGCCTTACATCTGAGCTGTATGGTTGGGAATTGCTGGTCAGAGTATTTATTTTCTGTTCTTGTGAATGATGTCAGACAATACTATGTTCTGAGGAGGAGAAAAATGTTCCTCTGACCTGTCCGCTGTATATCTTTGTTCTGAAGGAGAGCAAAGTTTGCTTTTGTATCTCCATGTGTGAACTGTAGGTTCTGAAGTTCTCTGCTCTACAGCACAGTCTTGCTGAAAATGGAAATGTGTTTGAAGAACAGGTTTTTTTTGTACCAGGCTAGAGGCCAGCTCRYCAAGCTYTATCAGGAGGARTGTAGCCAGCAGGTCAAAAGACTGGTTAGGCCATATCTGGAATATCTTATCCAGTTTTAGGTTCCCCAGTGCCAGATTAGTGCTGGTGAGGTTGGGTGGGTTCAGCAGAGTGACTGAGGTGGTGGTGGAGTGATGTGTGAGGAATAGSTGAGGGAACTGGGCTTGTTCAGGCCTTGAAAGAAGGTTTCAGGATGGCCTTCAAACCTCCATCAGTCTGTAGTCCTGTAGCTGGTACGAGTTCAGTAAAGYAGTACATAGCCTTCACTGTTTTGTTTTGCAGAATCTCACCAAGTCCTTGCTCAGCTGCTGGACACGCTGTTAGTGATTGGCACAAAACTCCCAGAGAATCCATCTGTCAGGATGAGGCTGGTGGAGGTAGCATGCAAGGTAAGGAGCTGCCCTGGWGCAGGGAACTTTTGTCACTGCCAATTAAGAAAAAAAAGGTAGTCACTATTTACATTACTTCATTTTTCTCAACAAACAACTGTTTAACATTACTAACATTAATAACACCTAGGAAACATAGTATGATGTATCAAAGAGGTCAAAGGACAATAAGAATCCTGTTACATCTGCTTTCCTCTTGTTCCCCAGCATCTGACAGATTCTTCTCATGGTGTAAGGAATAAGTGTCTTCAGTTAATTGGTTGTCTTGGCCCAGTGGAAAAAGGTGTTGCAAAAGAGGCTGAAAGCCAGGCAGCCAAAGATGTCCAGAAGATAATAGGAGATCACTTTAATGATCAGGATCCTCGTGTTAGGACTGCAGCTATAAAAGCCATGGTAAGTGTTGCTGATACAGTGGAAGAAATGGTTTGGGGTTGTATAAAGAAGTTGATAGGGGACTGCACACTAATCCAAAGAGATTTGGTTTAGAGATTATTTTAATTAACTTCGTAAAAATCTGTTTAATGTATCAAAATTCCCTGGAAAAATAGCCTAGGTCTTGACATATGAGAGTAATATGAGATCTCAAAGGTGATTCATAACTTCTGTTTCAGCTGAGTGGTTCATAACTTTTGTTTCAGCTGTAGCTAAAGAAGCTTTTCAATTTTCTCATTCTTTAGAGTGTGTATAGGCTCTTCTAGTAACAAATTTATTTTTTGACTTAGCATTGATTACCAGAACTACAATAAGCCTCTAGTGTTCCAAAATGCAGTAGGTAGCTGCTTATGACAGAAAACCTGTATGATAAGTTGAGAAAGAATTTTGTTTGTTTTAAAGCAACATTTATGTTTTGCTTCATGGTTACGTTCATTAGCATTCTCTAACTGTTAGTGAGATGCACTAGTTTTTTGTGTGGCAACCCTTCAGAAGCTTTTAGCTTTGCAGAAATGCAAGCAAAGACCATGCATTTCAAAATATTGCTTAATGTSAGTTGTCTGTGAGTTTATGGGGCTACCCAAGTTTTTCTATTATCTTTAAAATTTTAACAATGCTCCATCTAATGTCATGGTCAGCAGGGATCATGAATTAATTTTATTGAGCTCCAAAGAAAGAAGAAAGATGCATTTGAGAAGATCAGATTGCTCTTGAATCTCTCTGAAATCTCCCTCTGCTGGACATTGTACTTATCATTCACAGCATCATAGAATCATTTAGATTGGAAAAGACCCTTAAGATCATTGAGTCCAACTTTTAACCCAGCACTAAACTCTGTCCCTAAGAGCCACATCAACATGTCTTTGAAATCCCTCTATGTCAGTGCTTGACAGTGCTTGTCAGTGCTTGACAACCCTTTCCATGCAGAATTTTTTCCAAATACCCAATGTAGACCTCATCTCATTCCAATTTTTGTTGGTACAATTTTTTTAAATTTGCACAACTTTTATAATTGTGTCTACAGCAAGATTTATGATCTTGAGTTTATAGCACAAAGGAAACTCCTTCTGGTGTTTGGAATATGGGAACATCCCGTATGAATTCAGGGTCACTAACCACTTTTCAGTGTTCCTGATAATTGTTTTTCTTGCTACTGTGTTTGTGGGTTTTTTCCTTTAATTGTGTGTTGTACATTGAAGAATATAGAAAAGAAAATGTTTCTTGTTGACTGTGTTTAGCCAGATACTATTCCTTTGTGTATAAGGCAGATTCATGACACTGTGTTATTCTAAAAAGGAATAATGTAGGACACTTCGGTATTCCTGTGGTTCAGTAATAGAAAGATTTACAGGACATGGAAACTCATTGGCAATACTACTTTTGGATCCATGGTATGGATGGATAGGAATGGTACTAAAGTAATTATTTTGAGGATTCCTACATCTCTTTTAATTGTGGTTGAATATGGCTAACACTAAAAAATTATTTGAAGGTTGGGAGAATGGACAGACAGTCTCTTGGTATGAATTTTATTTCCCTAATCCAAATATGCATGACTCTGGAGCTAAAAAAAATGCTCAAGTCAAGGATATGATTTAAAATACTTATGGTCAAGATGCAGTATTTTAATTATAGCAGCAGTCAAGAAATGCAAGCAGCTAAGTTTACTCAAAGCAGAAAAACAGTGGTGAAAACTTAGTCTGTGTCCCTTAAAGCTATACTTATACTTTCTTGTGTTGTCTTTTTTTCCCTGTAGCTGCAGCTTCATGAAAGAGGATTAAAATTACAACAAGCTATTTATGGTCAGGTAAAATAGCTTGTATTTGTTTTGTACTTGTTTGTGTATCTTTTTATTTAACTTCTGTGTCAGTGTGTTTTGTGAGGGGGAGGGCACTGAGCAGAGGAGGAGTATTTTGCATTTTGATTGCAGATATTCCTTATTATCCTAGTATAGTGGAAAAAAAGGATATTTTGCATCCATTGAACTTAAATGCACTAAAGCATATGCTTTATTATGTATTGCTTATTGGGGAGGTGATCATGGGAAGGGCAAGGCATGATGAAGTCATTACTATCATCTGGTAATCATAGTCCTGAAGTCTTAAATAGTCCAGAAATCTTAAACCCTTGCTCATTGGAGGGTACCCATGAAGCCTATGTTTGTTATATCAGTAAGGCTGTTTGGCTGCAGCCTGCATCAAATCAGTTCTGTTGCAGACTTACATTTCATCCTTCCTGCATAGTACAGGCAGTTCTGGAATTTAACAGTGTGTGCCTGATTGACTTGATTAGGACTRGTCTGCTTGATTGAACTTGGAAATACTAGGAAGTGGAAGGGAAGAGTGGATTCATCTTGATTTTTAATCTGTCCTAACTGTTTTGTGGTAAGGGTGCTGATTACACTGTGGGAGGTGAATGACAGCTCAGGTGGAGATGTTTCAGGTATATTGGACTATGAATCTGCTTTCAGGCSTGCAAGCTGCTGGCAGATGATTATGAGCAAGTGCGCAGTGCTGCAGTTCAGCTGATTTGGGTCCTCAGTCAACTTTACCCTGAAAGGTATGTCCTGCATGCAGTGTCCTCAAAGTACTGGCAAAGTAATCATCCTAATCCTGAGAGTTTTGTGCTAGTAGGTCTGAGGAGAAGCTGTTGTAAAACTGATGCATGCAGATGTCTGATGCCTGATCAGAGTGCACTGATGCGATGAAGTTTTGGTTCCTGGTATTTGTTGCGTATTCATAGAAATTCAGCATAGCTGTTTCTCATTGATGCCATCCAGTATGGAATACAACCAACAAACTGATTTTTCTATGTCAGCATTGTCCCAATTCCTTCTTCAAATGAAGAAATTCGCTTGGTYGATGATGCCTTTGGAAAAATTTGCCATATGGTTAGTGATGGTTCCTGGGTTGTTAGAGTACAAGCTGCTAAGTTATTGGTAAGTTTCATYCTTTTCTTCTCTGGCAGAGAATAGTTCATCTTGACTTACTTKACTTTTCATATATATTTGAAAAAAAAATGGAGGATATTTAAAACTGTATAGGGACATTTCTCACAAAATTCTGAGGTGAAAGAAATGAGAGATGTTGAAGAAACCCAACAGTTTTTCAGCTGACATATGGGGTGTATCTTTCCTTCAGAGTAGATGGTTGAGCATTAAAGGAAAAAACAAATCCTTGTCATAATTCCCTGTCCCTATTTCTCTACCATAGGACATGTGAACCAGCTGAACTCAAGAAAAGCCTTATTAACCTTGGTGGGAAAATGAGATGTTTTAACTCTTTTAAGTTCACTTCTTTAGACTCTAATATACAGTAGTGTCAGGCATTGCATAAAGCTATTAGAATGACTAGATAAGATTGGATGCCGTTTTGGGATGAGTCAGGAATTAACATGGTGCAATTTAGAATAACCCTGTTTCTTCCTTTTAATGTTTCTTCCTTTTAATGTTTCTTTCTTTAGGGTTCTATGCAACAAGTTAGCTCCCATTTCTTGGAGCAGACCCTTGACAAGAAGCTCATGTCAGATCTGAGGGTATGTAACTGTTTGGGTTTGTTCTCCTGTGTGTAGGTACTAAAATTGCACAAGAGGTATGTTAMTGTTGAGTGTGCTTGTTTACCTTGTCCTTGCCTGAGGGCTGCTGAGAGTTAATTGATGATGACACATCTTGTTTTTGATTGAAGTCAATGAAGCAATTGCTAGTTTGAGATTTCATTAGCCAAGCATGTAAGAAATAGCTCTAGGCTATTCAGGTTCTACARCAGAGGTAAACGCTGGTTGGTAGACGTTGAGAGGTAAATGTTTGTGGTGTTCTGATAGTTTTTAGGCTAAAAGCTTTGTTGATTGTGTATAGGSAGACTGCATCCTAGTTCTAGGAGCAAGCTCATGGAAACATCCTGCAAGAACTGATCAAAAAACATTGACATTTCAAGAGATACRAGTAGCTAAAAGTTACTCAGTTCTGTGAGCAAAATTTTTCAGTAACATTCCTTTCTTAAGCAACATGCTCAAGGTTATGTTAGTTTTTTTCTGTCTRCAAAAGAATGGTGAAGAGCTGCTGGTTTTTGTGGGCTGCTTTTTAAAGGCTCTTAAAGAAAATGCTGCATAGTTTTATTTAAAGTGTGGGGGGAAAGGAAAAAGACTAGCAAGCACACTGAATGAATATTCCATTTTACACATTGCTGAACTCTGGATAGTATTGATAGCATTCAGGTATTTAATTGCAGTTTAACAAGCTGAACTGCGAAGTGATAGYATTTTTGCAGATCACTTATTGGCTTCTTAACTAGATGGGCCTTTGCTCTGACCCAGTTTATCTGTTTTTACAACAGATGTCTAAGAATGTGTTAAATAAAATGTATTTGATATTATCCTTGTCCTACATCAAATGTACAAAGAGTTACTGGCAGTTAGAAGTAGCTATAAAAGAGAAGGTACTGTTTGCTTTTCTTAGCACTTGCATGTGTGTCARTGTCTAAGCCTCCAGCTATGTCTGTTTTCAGATCCTGGTTAGTATTTTGTTCAATCATCTTTTGAAGYTTACATGGTTGTAACTGAAACACTTTTTTGGACAGAGGAAGCGYACTGCACATGAACGAGCCAAAGARCTCTACAGCTCTGGGGAGTTTTCAAGTGGCAGAAAGTGGGGAGATGATGCTCCCAAAGAAGAAATCGATACTGGCGCTGTGAACTTGATTGAATCAGGAGCTTGTGGGGCTTTTGTTCATGGCCTGGAAGATGAGATGTATGGTAAGTGTTAACTTGCCATGGAATAGCTAAAGGGGGAGATGTGTGTTGGCTAATAAGCATCATTGWGGTCTCTAATATGGTAGTTGTTTCAAAGGCACTGTAGTGTTGCAGAGAATTTTGGATAGAAATGTTCAATTGAGTAGCCAGAAGCAAACAGCTTCCTATAAATGGTAAAGTTTTAGTAGCATATATGGTTATAAGTAGTTGCTTCTGTTTGGCAGAAACCCACTGGGATTATTTTTTGCTGTTGTTGACTTAAATTTAACAGTTTCATATGGCTCTAAATTGGGAGAGTCCATTGCTGCTGTTTAAAATTGGTGTTTTGCCAGCAGGAAGGAAAATCATAGAATCATTTAGGTTGGAAGAGACCTCTTAGACCATCGAGTCCAAATGCGAACCCAGCACTAACTGCCAAGCCCACTACTAAACCATATCCCTGAGTACCACATCCAGATGATTTTTGAACACTTCAAGGATGGTGATTCCACTGCTTCCCTGCACAGTCTGTTCCAATGATTGACAACCATAATATTTTCCCTAATATCTAATCTAAACCTCCACTAGCACAACTTGAGGCTGGTATTTGCATAAACCTGAAAATTGCAAACTTTGAAAATTCCAARCTGTGAATCTTATTTCTGAATTTGYCTTTAATGATACTGGAAGGACAAGCTTAAGTTAAAGTGTACAAAACCATAGTAATGAAAATATTGCTGTAAAAGTTGGTTTACTGTTCCATGACTTTTCAAATAAATGCTTGTTTYCCCAATAGCTAAATTCTCCATGAAGCTTGAAAGTACACCTTTTATTTTTTTCTTAACAGTAAACAATATGTCACTGGTTCAGCCTCTGGACCTGTGAAACATGTGCTCCAGTTTCATGTGCTATAGATCTTGTGGTAGTATGATGCTAGAGAGGAATATGGATAAAATGAACAAATCTGAAATATASACACATCTGTGGATAATGTAGATCTCTTTCTCTCTCTCCACTGCAGCATTTTTAAATTCTGCTGAGCTCTCCCTGGCTGGCAATGCTGCTTCATGTCCTGAATTCCATGTTGTAACTTAAATCTGAATTAGTGTGTCAGCTTGTGAATGCTATATTGGCAGAATGTTTCTCTTCTCCTAATACCTGGGTCTTAATGACCACAGAGACTTGTAGTTGTAACAAAAGCTTCATTACTGAGCAAGCAGGGGTCTTGCTGTCTCTGCTTTTTTTCACTTAATCAGGATCATGGGGAGTCAAACGTTCTTTAAGAACAATAGGCCTGAAAGCTCCACRCAAGTTCAAGCAAATGTCTTCAATTTGGGCTAATTTGAGTGAAAAACAGAAGTATGTTTAAAATAACATTTGCTAGACATCAGATTAATTARCATTTTTATGATCCCAGCACATAAATGTTATAGAAGCTAATGAGGATGATTGTAGGGAAGAGAATCTCATCTCTGCTTAACCTTGTTATATCTGGGTATTCTTCAAATTCCTGCAATGTGTTACAGATAAATACACGCAGGGTGCTTTCTGGTCCTTTTTTTACTTTAATTTGAATACTTTTAATATTTAGGTGGCACCTTTTTTCTTTGTTTTGAGGAATCTGAAATCAGAAAGCAGAGGAATTTCATTCTGTTAACTGCCAAAACGTTGATTCTCTGGGGCTTTTCGGCAATTCATGAAGTGCTACATAGTGAGTTAAAAATGCAGTGAAAGCTCCAAGCAATTAAAATGTCAGGAAGAATAAAACAACAACAGTTTAATTAACTAAATTAGTTTGYTTAAGATACCACGGTTAATACTAGCTTGCAAAACACAGTATGAAACACACAGTATTTATTGATTGGTTGGAGACCTGGTTTTCACCTGCAGGTCCCTTTTGCAGAYGTTTATGGCAGCAACAGGGGCTGTAACATAGGGGAGACTTCTGATTTGAAGACTTGCCTGTGAAAAGTGGGCCCCAGTTGGGCCCCTGCTTAAGCTCTGTTATCCTCAGTGTTTCCTTAGCATCTCGTGTCCTTAGCCCAGCCCTTGAGAAGTGCTAGACCTCATGGTTGGGTGAATGTCCTTTCAAACCAGACAGTTTGAATTAATTTGCAGTTAATTCTCTGCTCCTCTTTTAACAGAGGTTCGAATCGCTGCCGTTGAAGCCCTGTGTATGTTGGCTCAGTCCTCACCTTCTTTTGCGGAGAAATGCCTGGATTTTTTGGTTGACATGTTTAATGATGAAATTGAGGAGGTGAGATTGCAGTCAATACACACAATGAGGAAAATTTCCCACAATATCACGCTGCGGGAGGACCAACTGGATACTGTGTTAGCTGTCTTGGAGGTAAGAAATTATTGAGGAGGGGAAGAATTGCTCTCCTGCTTGATTTGGGGTTCTTAATTATGTACTGCTAATCAGTCCCTTCCTCTAAGAGTAAACTCACTTTTTTGGTGGGCTTTTTGGCTCTTTGARCACTGCCAAAAGCTACAATCTAGTAGATTGCAATCCCCAGGCGAATGGAATATTTCTGAAATAGACAAATTTTAGATAAAAGCTCTTCTGTTGATCATTGTGCTGTTGCCTCCTTGTGTTTTCTTCTGCCTTGTGTTGTGGTCCAGCACTCTGCACTACTTCAGGTTGAGTGCAGTTTCATTTTCTTTCTGCTTCCTTGACTCAACTGCTTTGGCTACACCTTTGTTCACCCAGCAGAGCTGGGCCTGAGATCTCATCTGGCTGTTTAAAGTGTTCATCAGTGCGCTCTGTCATATAATTTTGAGTTGTCCTAGCCAGCCTCCTGCCAGGAGATGCTCAGCYAGGACTCAGGGACAGCACAAGTCAGCTGCTCTTCCTGGTTGATGWGGCTGATCCAGGAAGAGATTTCGGCTGTATGAATGGTGCTATGTCAAACTSCTTCCCTCCAGACCTGATTTATTTGCTGAGCTATAGCCCCTGAGGCTTTTGTTTTATTAATCTGCTGCTTGTGGTACTCAAGTTTCTGCTTTTTTTAGGAAGTGTGTCAACCTTGGGAGGTGCTGGAAATCCACTGTTTCTGTCTTCTCACCTTCTCTTTCCTTGACCCAGGGCAGCAATTGCTTTTCTCATTTGTGCCTCAGGAGGAAGCAAACTAATTAAACTTATGTTATCAGTCTGTAACAAATGCTGTGCAATATGATCTGAATTTGCAAATGCAGCAATGTGGTTTAGGTGCCTCACATTCTTGTCATTATTTACAAGTCATTGTCATTTGTTTAAGCTGGGGACCTCTGCATTGAGATATGAAAATGGCCTGGTTAGGTTGAGTTCTTCCATGCTGACTTGCCATGTGTAATAAACTCTACATGTATTGTGTTTTATATTGGCATAATTATCACCAGGCATTAGCGTAGCTTAAATGTGAGAATTAGTAACATTTTAATGGATTTATCTGATTCTGAAAGATGCTTAGTGCTTTTCTGTAAAATTCATCTTGCAGTATACTAAAATTAAGGATGTGGGAAAATACCATTAACTTTGGTGCCTAAATTGGTTCCAGCAGTGTAGATATGGATGGAACAATTGGGTGTTGGGGATAACTTCTGTTTTCACCCCCACTGCTTTCACTTTATCACAATAACTCTACCAGCTACTCCTTGMTTTTCTGATCAGACTTTGGATTTTGCTTTCCCTGTTGTCCTTGACTTSAGTTTCTATTGAGTTGTGCTCATCTCTGTCCCTTCATAGTCTTGTGGCTTGCTTGTCTCTGTATGACCTTTCAAGTGGCCATTATTAGAAGTCTGGAGTATTTTATGTCGTSGTCATTTCATTRCAGTCCTTAGAGTTTGTCTTCTCTRTGGTCATTGTCTGCCTTTGACCACCTAACCCCTTTGATCATTTGTGTGTCTTGGCTGTCATTAAAAGACTTTATAAGAGGATTGCTCTTTCTTCTTTTGTACAAGCTGTTGATACTTAGCAAATTATAATTTTTAAAAAGTAAAATCTACTGTTGTAAAGCATCCAGTTTTTGTATTCSGTCAAATTTTTACATTGTGTCGAGCTGTGCCACACAAATGCTAATAGCAAGGAATGTGATGATACATGGATATGGAATGCCAAGGTGATTTTTGGCAGAAGGAATAAAATTAATTCATCTGAATAATCTAGTCTGTCCAGCTACGTGTCYTCAGTGCTTTCTTAGACCCTCTGGAGGCTGGTGACTGGGCTGAAAGCCCGTGGAATTGAGCTCCCTGTGTTGAAAACGATAAAAGGCTTCTGTGAAAATGCTAARCCCCTCTTTGGTAATTGTTTTACTGACTTACCCAGCACCTTTCTGTTCTGATACTGCAAAAGTGCAACACCTTGAGAAGGTCAGCAGTGAAGCAGTTCCCCTTCCTTCCAGTAAAGGAAGCACATAGCGGGAGCAGACCAGGAGACCCTGCAGCATTTGCCTGGTCTGTCACTTCATCTGTGCTTAGCTTTGGTAAYCAGAAACATGCGCTGCTTTTCACAGATCTCTTTTATTAACTCAGCCAAGGAACAGAAGCTGCCACCTTTAAAGTAAATGTGTGAGTAGGCACGTTTSTCTCAGCACTCAGTGGTGTCTGGGTTGGGTTTTTATTTTAGGATTCTTCGAGGGACATTCGAGAAGCACTTCATGAGCTGTTGTGTTGCACCAATGTTTCCACTAAAGAAGGCATTCATCTTGCACTGGTGGAGCTGCTGAAAAACCTGACCAAGTATCCCACAGACAGAGAATCCATATGGAAGTGAGTGTGTTCAGTGTCCTTGTGTGTCTACTTGTTAGTGCTAGGAAATTCTGAGCTTGCAGAGGTAACAGTTATTCCAGATGTRCAGTCCTGTTATTCTGTAAATATGCTCTTATTCATGACTGGTGTGGAAACTCTGTGCTGTTCTTGCTTGTCAGTACTTTCACGTGAATCCAGAACTGATGACTACTCCTGGAAATATTCRTCTATTCCAGACATTCAAAGCACTCAAAGAAAAGATGAAATTGACTTTGAATTTAAAACCTCACCTCTTCTACACAACAGTTTTTGCTTAYTTGACACTCTGTTAAATAGTAATATTTACCAGCAGTTGGTTGTATCAGATGTGATAAGTGGATTGGCCATGTGGCATTGTGCTGTCAGAGGGAATTTTTCTRTCTAAGCAAAAAGAAGGAACTTCTGTGTCAGATTTTTTGGTTGTTTAATGAAAGCAACAAAAGGAGTGGTGCTCCACACATATGGTTTGAAATTAAATTCTTAGTTATTGTAAACATGTATGTTAGCTTTGGCCTCCTTTGACTTCCAATATACTTTGTACATTGTTTTTGGAGTTTGGTGTACTGTGGGGGTTYGGGGTTTTTACCTCCTAACTTCCTTATTTCTGAAGAAAAAACGATACACTCATTCGTTAACCTTTAGTATAAAAGCTTTTCCTGCATTGTATAACTCCAACTGTTAGGCATTTTGTGGACAGTTTAAGTAAAACAATTTTATTACTGCTTGTCCTTTCAGTTTTCTTGGATCCTATCAAATATTAATGAAAATAATGAGTAGTAAAGAAACAGTGAGCTTGGACAGCAGGATTTTCTTGCTGAACACSCTCTCAAAGTATTGGTGCATCATAAAGTAGTAATGCTTTAGAATGTTGTATTTTGAAATATGTCTGTTGACTAAGATATATTTCAATCTGTGTATTTCCAGATGCTTGAAGTTCTTGGGAAGCAGGCATCCCACTTTGGTGCTTCCATTAGTCCCAGAGCTGCTGAGCACGCATCCGTTCTTTGACACTCCRGAACCAGACATGGATGACCCAGCCTGTATCTTTCTTCATGAAGCCAGTTGATAATTTTGACTGTAGTAGATTTTATTCATGATTTCCTGGTGCTCATATTTCTTAAACCGCTTCTWACTGTAACAGACAAACAATCCCACAGCTGTTTCTGAATCCCTTTGCACTTTGTTACTCAGTAAGTTTGGAATAACTGTTAGCTGGAGCCATCTTCTTAAATACCAATGGACTATAATTGGCCATCTTTTTATGGTGTGATGAATAATCAAGCAATTTGTCAAGGTTTAGGCTTTGCAGATGAGCACTTTGATGGCRAAACATTTGTCTTGTTTGCATTAATTTTGAAGATGCTTTAGCTTTTAAATAAGAAAAGTGTTTTTTCATGTCTGTTTTCTTTTTAGGTAAAACTTCTGCTATGCTCAGTGTTGTACAGTGTATAGAACAGCACCATCTCTTAATACAGCCGTACCTGAATCCCCATAATGCTTTGAACTTTTCATCTTTTTGAAATAATTGAGTATCAGAAGTGCTTATATTAGTATTAGCTCTTCCAGTACCCAAGATATACCATTATCCTCAACAATAGGAGATGCCCTTGAAATGCATTTTTCCGTTGTTCTTCTCTTGCTTCCCTTCTGTGCAATTGCAGAACATAATATTATTTCTGATGCATGCTGAGACACATTGGACTGGAACCTTTCTCTAGAAGCTGTTTCTTTTTCTTACCAGTCACAGGCCATCGATCAGAAATCCTATACACATTAAATGAAAACCTTGTGAGAATTGAAATGAGTTAGAATTAGGTGGAGAGAGATGAATCTGTAATGACATGGTTTAGTAATAATTTGAGTGATGTTGTCCTGTGAGTTGATAATTAAACTAACATTGCAGGGGGGAGAAAGYTGTTGATTCAATGCACCTTCCTGCTAGGAACTAGAGAATATTACRTTAGAGAATGTTATGGAGGTGACTTATCACCAAGTTTTACAGAGACTATTAGTGATGACAGGCCTGTGAGCCAGAAATGAAATATATGTTTCCAGCGTAAACTGGTATTTAAAAATGTGGCTTTGTTTGCTTCAAAATACTTAGAAAATTTGAACCAGAACTTATGCTTGGGACCCAACCCTAAATGTTTGGGTACCAAAACACTTGAGCAAAACACCTGGTACACCCCATGGCAGGGAGTTTGGAACTAGTGGTCTGTTCCAGCCCAAACCCTCTGTGATTCTGTGGTGCAAACTGGCGAGCACAGTGTAAGCTTGGAGGAAGAGTGAAACTCCACCTAATGTGCATGTTCTGCATTCAGGATCCCTGGCTTCTTTCCTTTGTGTTGCCTCTGAGCCATCCCATGTTGGCAGTAACATACTTTCTYCAGTATGGCTCGCCCTGTAATGTTTGCACTTTGTTCTTGGTTTTCATCTGCTCAGACAGCTGTTTCTTTGGGCTTTGCTCAATATTTTCCAACTATAAAAAACTTCCTAGACAAATCCTGACCAAAGAAAGGGTTGTTGAGTTATTTTAACTTCCCATCCCCAAGGAGCTCTTTTTGCTGTTGTTTATTTTTCTTTAACAATCCATTTTCAATAGACATTGCTGTTCTGGTTCTGATTTTTAATGCTGCTAAAAGTTGCCCAACAATGCCTGCCCTGTTCTCTGACCATACGTTCAGACATTATGCATATCTTCGGGACAGTCTCTCTCATCTGGTTCCTCCATTAAGAGTAAGTTGAACCACTTTGGTTTGCACTTTGACACTCTATTAGAAATATTGCTGGTCTCTTCCATGTCTGTGTATGTGTGTAGCAGTTAGATTCTGAAAGTCTTTTTTCCTGTTCACCGTGGGAATTAATATTGAAATGTGCATTAAGGCAGGAGAGACAAATGTTACATWGTTACAATATGGATTTTGTAGTATTTTTGGGAAAATTATAACATTATTACTCTCGAGTGAGAAYAATACATGGTTTGCTGGTTAGGTAAGAATACTAGGAGGGCAGTATTCCTGGGAGTTTCCTGTAGCTTTGGCTGTGTGTGTGGGAAAGGCCTTTGTACATTTTCCAACATTTCACTTGTGGTTCTACCTGAACAGTTTATTCATGGATGAAATGTGTTCCATTCTGCTTTGCTACATGTTTTTTCCTGCATGGTAGTATGGATGGGATTGAAGTTGGCTGTAAGTCCTKCCACAGCTCATAAAATAAGTGGTGATTTGTGTGGTCTTGGACTTCCCTTGACTTCACATTGTCAAAGTTAATAGATGAGGAAGATCCTTCCCTCAAAGGGATGTTGAAGTTTAACCTGAGGATTTTATTTGTGAATGGATTGTAAAGTAGGGAGGATTAGCCAACAAAGATGCAGACTTGAAAGCCTTGGTATGAATTTTGAATTTGAGAAATGAATTGGAGCTCTTGGTTATTGTTAAATAATATGTCAGCATTTTGCAATGTTATTCCTTGCATTAGACTTTACTCGTTTTTTTGTTTGTGTGTGCTCCGTCTTGCTTAGTTGCCAGGTAGAAAGCTGGTGTCCTCCACTGTCTCTCCCAGTATTACCCCACATGAAGATCCTTCCCAGCAGTTCCTGCATCAGAGCCTGGAGAGAGTTTACAACTTTCAGCACCTCGACCCACAGGGCATACAGGAGCTGCTGGAGTTTACTATCCGGTAAGGCTGCAAGCTGACCTGTTTATGGAAAGATGGGCTAGGATTCCAAATTTCTCTGATGCAGGTGCTTTGCTTCTGAATACGCATTTGTAATCTGCTGTCCAGCAAATTGAACTTGAGCCTTCCACTAGAGACTGGTGTGATAAAAGAGTGTTCATGACCTGTTTAAAATCAAATTGATGATCTCAGGTCTGGCATTGCCCCACAAAATAACCAGTGTACATTTGGCCGAGGGCGCATCTTCTCAGAGCGTGGTAAGAGTTAGGTAAGGGTGCTCTTTTTGGACTGTTCTCTTATGCTGGAATACGGTCTCAGTTTCTATGGTTTATGGGTGACAGCTTTGTGTGTCGTTCTCAGTTTTGTGTCCTTGTAATTTTGATCATTTTATTTATAATGTACATGCACAAGGTTTTCTTCTTTTATTTTTATGGGGGGAAAGGTGTTGTCCCCTTTGCTCTTGCATTTTCTGGGTCCCATGGCCTTTCATTCAGCAGGAGAGAACCTGATTCTGRTGCTTTGGGGTCTCATTGTCAGTCCCACTTACAAGGGATGCGGACATTCCTCATCAGTTTTCAAATCAGAGGGTTTTTCCAGGAATAGACAGCATTTTTGCATGCTGCTACCTGCTGCTGTATAGATAAGGGTGTCTGATGCTGCTTCTCAGTGTGGTTTTATGCTGCCTCTTTATTTCATCTCTAGACTGATTTACACAAACAAAACACTTGAAAAGCATCCTTTCAATGTGATTCCTCAGCTTGGAAAGATTAAAGAGCCTTATTTTCAGAGTTAGTAAAACAATCCAAAATGCTTTGTTTGGAATATGGAATTCCAMAAAGAAGCTTAATTCTTTTTATATTGTTTCAAAATAGCTGCCTTCTCTTGTGTGTATGTTGCTGTGAATCACTGTCACACCCATCTGCAGCAGAGAATAAACAGTGTGCTCCTCACTGAAAACGCAGCTGTGGAAATTGTGAGGTTTGTCCTCAGCTGTTTTGCAGCTGCCTTGTGCCAGCCTTAAATACAGTCTTTAAGCATTTAGTGCACTAAACACTTGGAAAAGGTAATCTCTAGGCCAGACATCCATAACCTTACAGGCATGAGGGTCTGGGAAACCTCGCAGGCCATGACCATTTTCAGTTTTTGAGTTGATGGAAATTACTGGCTTGGCTTTTTTCCTGATGAGATTGTCCCCCAGGAGACCATACTAAACCGGCTGCTGCTTTCCATCCCTAAGAGAAGGGATGATTTGGAGAAAGCCAAAACAAGTGTTAAAGGTTATTTTGCAGAGGGCAAGATTTCCCTGCACCAATGATTTGGCTGCTGAGAGCAAAGGGATAGAAGCAGCTCACAGCAGTGGATTCTGCCATGGGACATAACTTGCTCCTCTGTCATTATTGTCATCCAAGGAAATAACAGACCTTGTGGAGCTTGTATCTACTTGGGACTCAGAGTTTTAGCTGCAGAGCCTGGGCGGGGAATCATCAGTCTGCAGTGCTTAGGAATTTCAGACGGGCTGTTTAGGAAATCTGTCTGTGGTTTAGTTTCTCCATCTATAGAAGAGGAATAGATGTCAAAATCAGTTTAAGATTTGTGAAGAAATAGAATTAGTGGGATCGGGAGCTGTAGAAGACTGGGAAATGGAGTATCTGCCTAGCTGTTAGCTGAGAGATGAAAACCTGTTCCCTCTTAGTGTATTGTGATGGATTGTGACATGGGAATTAAGCACCCAGGAGCYTCCTCTTCACTCTGCTCTCTGGARAAAGATGAAATGGAATATCTGTGTRAGGTTGGCTCGGCTGTTGTTGCATTGTTGTTGAATAAAAGCRCAACCCCTTACTGTGAGAGACATTGAGGTGCTGTAGTGTGCCCAGAGAAGGGGAACAGAGGTGGGAAAGGCTGGAGCACAGGTCTGATAAGGTGTCTGAGGGAGCTGGGGGTGTTCAGCCTGGAGAAAAGGGGGCTTACGGGGGATCTTATCACTCTATAACTCCTTGAAAGGGACTGTAACTAGGTGAGGGTTGGTCTCTTCTCCGGAGTAACAAGCAAGAGAATAAGAGGAAAMAGCTTCAAGTTGTRCCAAGGGAGATTTAGGTTGGATATTAGGAAAATGTCTTCATGGAAAGGGTGGTCAAGCACTGGAAAGGACTGCCCAAGGAAGTGGTGGATTCACCRTTCCAGGAGGGATTTAAAARACATGTAGATGTGGCACTTGTGGTAGGCTTGGCAGTGCTGGGTTAATGGTGGGACTGAATGATCTTGGARGTCTTTTCCAATGTTAATGATTCTATGAATCTCTGCTTAGGAAAGATTTTCTTTGGCTGCATATTGTACAGATAATCTCATGGATTTTTGTTAATGTTTTAGGGCTTAGCAGCCCTCTGATTTGGCAGAGCCAGAGTTTCAGAATTGTATCCAAAATGCAAAGATAAATCTAAAATAAACAAAAGGAAATTATCATCTGAAAAAAATAATAACACAGTAGGAAACATGGAAGTAAAGTGACATTTTTAATAGACTTTGGATCAAAGCAAAATGTAGAGAAGAAAAGACATGATGAAACCACATCATCCAACCTATTTTCACTTCTTTAACAAAAATTAGTTTTGTTCTCCTAATGCACMCTTTGGATCTAAAACATGGCTAGCAGTAGAGAGCTAAAGCCTTTTTGGGTTCCATTAACTGACATTTTTTTYCTATCATATTAAAAGCTGCTTATATTGATGTATAATTTACAAGAAATRCCAGACAACATACACCATCTAGTTGGGCAAATACCAGTACATCAGATTGCAGCTTGGCTTAAAAAGGCAGCTCTATTTCAGATACACTTGGTTGCATGAGCCTGACACGTTCCAAACAACCTTTCCCAGCCAACATGAATACTTTGATTTCCCAGCAGTGTAACACAAATGGGTCGTTAGCTGCTGTAGAAGGCTGGAGTGTTTTAAGTTAAATCTGGAACTGCCGCTCTGTATGGTTCCCATGGGGCTGCAGAGTAATGTGGGTTGACAGACTTACTGTTTTCACTTCTGTGCTGGTGTCAGCTTCCCAGAAGAAGGGACATGCCGAGTCCCAAGGTGCAAACTGGTTTGTAGTGTGTGTGTGTTTTGCTGCTGTTCCTGGTGCTTGTTCTAATAAAAGCAGGCAGCAGGAATAGCTGGCTTTGTCGTCGCTGCCTTCTGAGTGTGCTTAAATTAAACTGCCCTCTGTCTCAATGTTATTTTTTTCTTTTTTTTTTTTTTTTCACATGCTTCAGTGATCTTCAGAGGCTTGGAGAACTGCAGTCAGAACTGGCAGGGATGGCAGATTTCTCTGCAACTTACCTTCAGTGTCAACTGCTCCTCATCAAGGTTTGACTTTATCTGGGTTTTTTGTGCTGTTCTTCAAAACTGCCCCCAGTCCATCACTGTGGCATGCTTTCATGTTTTGATGTTCGTGCTGAAAAGTGATGTGTGATGAAAGAGCAGGTTCTGTGGATTTCTGATAATCCTGCTTTCCTCATGTGGCAAATAATTTATGCAGTAATTTTGCCAATGCAGACTTCTGCTGCTGTACCTTATTTTGGTTGATGTGCATTTTGTCAGTGCAGAATTTATTATCTGACAGAAGTCACAGTGAGGGCAACTGTAATGAGAGTAACTTTTCCCTGCTGGTGGCCACCGGAATGTTTTTTGTTAGACTGCTGCCATGAGTGGAATTTTTATAGGGGGTGATTTGCAGACAGCTTTATTGACACCAATGCCAAAGGAGTTCTTAAGACTTGATTGAGCTTAATATCAGTCATGCTTTGTTTTAYAGTGCTGAAATTATCTATCTATTTAGTATTAGCAGGTGAAGTGTTTACTTTGACACCATGGCAGCAGTCCTTTTTAAAAGCCCCCTTTCAAGGTCATTTTCTTGCTTTAAACAGGAACTAATTTTTTGCTTCATAGAGTTATAGAAAATCTTGGGTTGGAAGAGACCCTCTAGTTCCAACACCCCTGCCATGGTCAGGGCTTCCACTGGATCAAGTTGYTCAGAGCTGTAAGCTGGCAGTAGTATTTAAGTTATTCTCCTGGCATTATTTAGTGTTTGAGTGTAACTTACACACATGTAAATCAGGAACTAAAACATGCAGCGAACAGGTTTCCAGAAGGGATTCAATAAAAGCTTTGTTACAAAACCAAGAAGGGATTTCAGTTGCTTTGCTGATGCATAGCTGCCAACTGGCMTATCTCATGGCAGGCCTCAAATCCTTGGAATATATTTATCACCCAAAGAAGGTATTTCAGATGAGCAGTGTTACMGTTCAGTACAATCCTGCTAAATCCAGAGTGAAATGTACTGTGCCGGCAGAGGACTAGTATTTGCAGATAGCTTTGTTACCCTTCTCCAGGGTTAGACTGGAGTGAGCCAGATGGTTTTTGCATCTGGCAGAGGAGTGCTCTGTTTGGAAGTAAGGCRTAAAAGCTGCATCAGCCATTCTTGGCTTGATCAATAGACCAGTGATGCAAAGGAGTCAGTWATGTGCATGGAATGAAAAGTAACTGATAATATCAGGAATCACAGAATATCTTGGGTTGCAAGGGWTTTTGAGGATCATCTAATTCCAGACCCCTGCTACAGGCAGGGACACCTTCCACTCATATGATACAATTAGAAATTCTGATACTGCASACAGAATCTGAATGTCCGAGTAACCCTTTGCAGTAAATTTCTTTCCAGTTGCTTCTTTCCCCAGCAGCAAAAAAGCTGTTGTGGGAAAAAATAATCTTCATTTCTCAGCCTCTCAAGGCTCTAAATTGTCCAGACCTTTAAAGGCCCTACATCCCCTGTGATTTTAGGTGTAGTTAACTGAGATTCTGGGGCCAGCCTGAGTGAAGGAGACATTCTGAATGTTCTTGAGCTTTGGCTACTGCCAGCCTTGTGTGGAGTTGTATCTAAGGATAGGCAGCTTCAAAAAGGAGGCAGTGATATAAATCATCTAGTCAAGCTTTTTACATTTTTTTTAAAACATAAATCAAGAAGCACATAAGGTGTGGTTAGGCGGTTGGGGTTTTGTTGGGGGATTTTTGTTGTTGGATTGTTTTGTTTTTTTTAAATCCARTATCAGTGGCTGAATTAGATACAATATTCGTAGTAACTCTAGGAGTTACTCTTTGATAGGGGGAGACTGTCAGCAGAAAAGTTCAGAAATGTGAAGTAACTGTGTTTCTGGGGACAGTTTTTACTCTTTCCACTTTTTGCCTGCACTCTTGAGATTGCCCCATTTTGGTCTCAGGTGGGTAATAATACAGTGGGCTGTTGTTTTYCTTTATGAAACACAAGGAGTTTAACTCAGCTAATCTCTCATTCACAGCTTTGTTAATATTATTCTCAACATCTTKTATATATTCTAGTTGTATAATATCTCTGTGTCTTTATAGAGCAATGTCTRTTTTGGAGGCCTTGGTTCCCTGTGTTGTATTTAAAAGCACAAAAGAAAGCTTTGGCATGCTTTTTCAACCAACTGTTTAGACCGAATTGGATATTTATCATCATTTTATGGTTTGTTTTTTTTCTTGTAGGCCTTGCAGGAGAAGTTGTGGAATGTGGCAGCCCCCCTGTACCTGAAACAGAATGCGTTGGCGTCTGCTGCAGCCAAACAGGTGAGGTGGAAGCAGCTGAGCCTGCTTGGAGGCCAGTCCTTGGGTAGGAGTCCTTCCTCAGCCATGGAACAATAATACACATCTGACCTTCCACTGGCATAAGTCTGTCCAAGTCAATCTTAGTCCCCCAAAGTTGAGTAATTTCTCTTACCTTCAAAAGATGAGTGGTGAGGGAGGGAGGTTCATGGCAGCTGTAAGAAAGCAAATACCACACTCATCTTCCAGAAGTATCAGAAAGAAGATTGAACGGACTGGGCTGCTTGTCCTTGCCTCTTTCCTGGGGAATGTTAATGGACCAAAGACTTTTAAAAGATGTTTATAAACAAGATCAACAAAGCTACTGGAGCAGCCAAAATGCATTTCTCAAGAACAAATTATGGCTGACCACTATTACTGCTCTCTGTGGTGAGGGGACTGGTGYTGTGAACAAGGGGAGGGCAGTTGAATTTGCATCCCTTGACCTTAGCAAAGCTTGGATAACAGTCTCCCAGCATTTCTTTTTCACCAAACTTGCAGGATTGTGGCTGAATAAACAGGTGATAGTAATAATAATTATATATAATTTAATAATAATAATAATAATAATAATAATAATAATAATAATAATAATAATAATAATAATAGTAATAATAAACAGGAAGGGTCCTACAAATTGAAGAACCATCTGATATGCTGGAGGGCGTGGCTGCTGGTCTGGATAGACTGGGAACTGGGATGAAAGGAACCTCATCATGTTCGGCATGAGGATCCTGGTGGACAGTACATTGAATATGAGGCACTACAGGAGGCCAGCTGCTACTGAGAGTCTTGGTTTGGGAAATGGTCTGTCTCTGGAGAGATGACATCTGGAGGGCTCGTGTTGTGTGTTGGCCTCCCCAGTAGAAGGAAGATGCTGACAAACTGGGGCAAGTTAAGCAGAGGGACATCAAAGTGGTCAGGGGCTGGAGCACATTACCTGCAAGGAAAGGCTGAGGGAGCTGGAATTGTCCAGCCTGGAGAAGAGTCAGGCTTCAGTATGGATTTACTTCTCTCTGCTACTGTATCGTTATAGGATAAAGATGAGACAGAACCAGACTACTCTGGATGAGAGGCAATCAGCAAATGATCAGAAATTTTGATCAGCTATAAAGGGGAATTTACTGTAAGGAGGATTAAATACTGTTGCCCAGAGAGATGGGGGGAATCTCCGTCCTTGGGCTGTTCAATTTGGCCCTGAGTAACTGGATCTAATGAGACCTGCTCTGAGCAGGGGACCAGGCTAGATGACCTCTGAAGGTCACACCCCATCTGAGTTATTCTGATTCTGTGATGTAAAAATGATCAAATCCTGGAAAAACTGAAGCTAAGCCCTAAGAAAAGGTAAAGAAGCAAGAAAGCTATTAAATAATAGGGTAACAAATCTAGGATAAAAGCAACTTCATGGATCTGTTGGAAACTATTGACATTTTGAGTCTTCAGGTAATTAAGATGCAATAGACGGGTAGTGCTGTACATCAAAGCTTTCTSTGCTGTTGATGAGTTGAAACAAAAGCCATCCAGCTTTTGAAATCTTCTGTGATTGAACTGTTTGTCTTGGGTGCCCTCTTCAGTAGCATGTGAACCGCCTGGGAAGTGTTATCTGTTGTCATGGTGAATGTAGGTCACTTGCTGTCAATGCAAAGTGAGGGAGTATTTCCTGTTAAATAACTTGCAAGTTCTTGACCTCTACACAGTCATACTGAACTCAGCTGTATTAATTTGAGCACTTCCTCTTATCTGCTTAATGCATTCCTCAGTATGAGATAAAAATACCAGAATCTGGTGATCGCGGGTGTGCCAGGTTTTAACAGTCTGATGGTTTTTTATCCCTGTGGTGTCTGTCTGGCAGATCCTGGAAGAAACTTACAAGATGGAGTTCATGTACAGTGGAGTGGAAAGTAGACAAGTAGTCATTATTCACCACATGAGACTGCAAGCAAAGGCCTTGCAGCTGATAGTGACTGCCCGTACCACCAGAGGGTAAGGATGGCCTGGTTTAAGGATCGTCTTAGGGTTAGCTCTAAGATTGCTATCCTTAAGCTTTGTTTAAAAAAAAACCAGCAAGGATAGATTAGACACAACAGGACACCATGCAATAACCATTTGCTAAAATAACTCAGAATGAAGAGCCTTCTTTTGCCTTTGRTACAGCTGTATAGGGACACAATCCTGAATTATATGACAGAGCTATAGGGAAGATGAGTTTTGGGGTTTGAATTCTCACATTTATGAACATATAAATAGGTTAAAAGCATTGAAGAGTTGATATTTGGGACCCGTTTAAATGAGGAAAAGCCGTGTATCAAAAGAATGCACTAATCCTGCTTGCTTCATTAAGCATTAGTTGCTGAATTTTTAGCGTCATAGAAGTATTGTCCTCCTAACTGATCTGCAACTACTGTGTGTGTGGCTCAGACAGAAACTGTTCCTGTGCAGGCTTAGGTACACAAGAGGCTCTGAGTGGTTTGTTTTGGCTGCTGAAGTTAAAGAAGTGACGCATGGGTTTTGGTAATTGTAGAATTAGAACTCCAGCTGGCAGAATTAGAGCAAATTAGTTACTATCCTAGTTTACTTCTGTTTTAGGCTTGTTGGCATCAATTTACTGTGTTACCATGGAGGTTCATTATATATTTGCCTTTTAACCTCTTGTTTTATAGGTGGAAAATGAATATTTTCTAACAGTGGCTTTAGGAACTTCATTAGTGCCTTATGCAAACGGGGTTTTTTTGTGGGAGGGGGATAAATAATGGATAATTATCTATATCTATTAAAAATCTCTAAGATAATTTAATTTTTAGGAGGTTTAATGGGATCCAAACMACTTAAATGCTTATAACCATAAAGCCATTTTTCTTCCTTTAAAAGTAAACCAAGGAATTTTATTTTCATTGCAGAGTGGAACCCCTTTTTGGGATGTGTGAAAAATTCCTCCAAGAAGTGGATTCCTTTCAGAGGTGACAAACTCCATTGCTTCTTCTCTTTATATTASAAAGTCCCACCACTGTTGTCATCAGGGGATATTCACTTTGTTTTTTGTCTCTTAACATCTCCCTTCCCTGCTGTCCTACATTGRGAACCGTCATGGGATAATAATAAAGCAAGAACAACCTTTGTAGTTCAAGTCCTTAACATCGGGATGTTATGCTGGTACTTCAGAAACATGTGCTCTGAATTAATTTTTTATAGAATAGCTGATTTTTTTTCTTATATTTATAAGGGTTTATCTACTTTGAGTGGTTGCTATTTTGATAAATACTTAAATTTTTTTTGTTATTCTGTCTCTTGGAGTCCTGATAGCAATTTGACCTTTCAAAGATTAATAAAAAAAACAGATCATCCTTGATGTACTTGACATGTAGCAAAAAGATAAGAATTCTGTGCTATCTTTCCTGGCCCTGTCTACTGCTTTTGTCACCTCTTATTAGTCACCTTTTCTTTCAGGGACAGTAGATTTATTAAGTGTCCATTTGCATGGTTACATTGATTCTAGTGAAAGGTGTCCCTGCCCATGGCAGGGGTTTGGMACTTGGGGATCTTTCAGGTCCCTTCCAACCCAAAACATCCTATRGTTCTGCTTMTATGAAATAGTGATGAGTTCTGCTAATCTTGAGACTCAGTGCTGGGAAAAGATAYACAGGAAACAACAGTTCTATTCTCCAGCTCTAATTGGGCATTAGAGTTGGGCAGATTTGGTCCTCTTTTCTTATCAGTCAACCAGCCACAACTGCCAAGCATATGGAATACAAATAAATAGGGATTTAATCAGAACTAGAATACCTGTAACTCTGRACTAGCTATCCAATTCCCTGCTGAGTCATAAAATCGTAGAGTCAGAGAATCTTAGAATGGTTTAGGTTGGAAGGGATGTTAAGGACCATCTTGTTCCAACTCCCCTGYTAGACCAGAGCTCTGACCAACCTGGGCTTAAACACTTCCAGAGATGGGGCACCCACAGCTTCTCTGGGCAACCTGTGCTACTACCTCACCATCCTCACAGTGAAGAATACTCCTAATATCTCATCTATCTTTCCTCTTATAGTTTAAAACCATTCTCCCTTGCCCTATCATCATGTGCCTGTGTAAAAAGTTGCTTTCCCTCTTCTATACAAGCCCCCTGTAAGTACTGAAAATTTGCAGTGAGGTCTCCCTGGAGCCTTCTTTGGGCTAACAACCTCAATTCTCTCAGCCTGTCTTCATAACAGAGGTACTCCAGCCCTCTGAGCAACTTCAAGGCTTCTTCTATCCTTCTTACACTGAGAATTCCAGAACTGGGCACAATTCTCCAGGTCGAGGTCTCATGAGGGTAAAAAAKAGGGGGAGAAACCTCTCCCTTGACCTTCTGCCCACACCACGAAGCCCTTGATGGTGTCAGTTTGAGCACAAAGCACAAGGTCCCAACACAAGTAGCCAGAGTCATCTCTTATGTGTGAGACRCATCAGAGGAGGAATGAATGTATCTAATTCATTATAACTAAATATAWGGATGAAGTAGCTTGACTGAAAATAACAATACTGTGGAAAAAGTWGAAAACAGTATTTGATTTTTAATTTATTCTTGGCACAGATGTTTCATCTCTGAGCTCCCACATATGCAAGGCAGTTTTGTAGATAAATTGCTGGACTTAATGCCCAGACTTGTGACATCCAAGCCTTCAGAAGTGGTCAAGATTCTTCAGACAACGCTACGGCAAAGTACCTTCCTCCACCTYCCTCTCCCAGACCAGGTGGGTTTAACAAAAAATTAAAATGCAATATCCTTGTGGACTGTCTTGGTATCCATCTAATTCCAAATATACCATTAAGCTTTTGGAATTCAGGGTTATGATCAGACACAAATGTTATTTCTTCTTTGTCTTCTCGCATCCTCAGGACTACTGCCAAAAACATGGAAAATTTTGTCATTCCTGGCAGTATAAAAGAAATAAATCCAAAGTTTATGCTCATYTCTGTTAAGAATAATAGTAATTACAGGTTGTTTTTTCTTTCTTCTTTCCCCCATATCCTGATTTTTGCCAATCACTTTGCCCTTAACAGCTCCATAGAGCCACTGCAAATATCATTGAGCCTACAGGTGAATCTGATAATCCCCTGAGGTTTACATCAGGGTTGGTTGTGGCACTGGATGTTGATGCAACTCTGGAACATGTGCAGGATCCCCAAGGAACTGTTAAAGTTCAGGTATGAAGTCTTTGACATAAATTCAAACAAGATTGTTTCTTGGGGGGAGTTTCTTTAAGGATGTCAATACTTCTAGATTGCAAATAATTATACACYTCATTAGTAACAATGCTGGATTTTGTGTTTTGCACACACATTCAGAAACTGGTTTGTCTCTAGTGTGCTGAGTTGACTTGGGTGCAGTTCTGAGAGTTTGCCTTGAGCATTTGGATGTCATTCTGTGACTYCACGTGTACTGTGCACACCAGTAATGCTGGTGAGCTTCCAGCTGGTCTAGTGGGGGAAGAAGGAGCAAAAGAAGCTGTTCTGAATGGCACAAAAATACGCAGGCTCTTGGCTCTCTGTATTTCCAACTTTTCTTCCTGCTGCTGAATGACTAATTTTAAATGCAGCTGAGGAGRTAGGATTGCTATGATCCAAGTAAAATACACACATCACTGCTAACAAAGAAACAAGGACCTCAGTTACAATACAGAGAAAGAAGCTGATATCAGTGTGGGCTTTTTTTTCTACTTGTGCTGTGGCTGTTATATCCGGGGCAGCTGAACTCCTGGCTCTAAGCCAGAGCCCAGCTTCTTGCCTTCCCAATTCAAAWACACTCAGCTAATGTACTGTGCAGATCTCCAGTCCAGTTGTCACTCAGTTATTTCCCTTTTTTTTTTTTTTGTTCCCCTCTAGGTGTTGTATCCAGATGGACAAGCACAGCTAATCCATCCTAAACCAGCTGACTTCCGAAATCCTGGCCCTGGAAGGCACAGGCTGATAACTCAGGTTTACCTCTCACACACAGCCTGGACAGGTAACATGAATGATACGAGTTAAYGGGGTTGTGTGACAGCACTTTTATTAGACACAAATTACATGCCCCCAGTCTAGGGGGGTTTGAGGATCCTGGAGTCTCCAGCTGTGGTTGGTGCTGCCCTTGGTGTCTCTCAGGACTTTGAGCAGTTACAGCTCCCTGTTTACCAGGGCACTGCTGCTCTGTAAGGGATTAGAGGGGCTGCTGTTTTAGGAGAGCCCCGGGAGCCCTCGCCTGAGAGACGTGCAAAGTGAGGTCACCCTCTCGTGTGCAGAGCAAAGTCAGCTGTAGGARCCAGGTCTGCATCCTCAGGTAAAGGCAAGGGGGCACAGTAAACTGACATGTTTGAGCATGGCAGAGAACCTTTGAAACTGTGCAGTAYAGCAGTATAGTTTCACTGCTGATTCAACTTTCACCCTTTAAATGCCMTAAAAACCCACCTTTAGCTCTGATGATGATATGACTCCAACACTCACCTTCAGTCTCAGCTGATGTTCACACTTTCCCATGGAAGTAATTGGTTTGCAGACTTCAAACAACAAAAGCAGAGTGTATTTCATGCACAGCTCCCTTTGTCCTGTTTTATATTAATCCATACTTTTTCATTCAAATGTAGCGAGTTCCTCTGAGAGGGTCTTTTTCTGAGCAATTTTTCATTGGATTTGGTGGATTTTTATTTTTTTGTAACCAACAGAATTTTGTTTATTGCCATGTTCCTTCACATACTCCTTTATTTATATAGTACTTCCATGGTGTACCCACTCATTCTGCTGTCTTTGTTTTGTTTTGGAGAAGAAAACATGGTACCGTTTCTAGGACTGGAAGTAKCTGGGTGTAAGGGTTGATGCTGTACTTCACCAGAAGGGGCTGAATGAAGTCCTTGTTTCTACTTTTGCAGCATTCACTGGAAGGACATTTTAAGCATGGCCCTAAGGGATTCTGTTCCGGTGTCTCCTCTAGGCATTATTTTAATTATGAACTTCAACATTGGCACTTAGGCATATAAAACAGGGGGAAGACACTGAGCTGGGAGGGGCTCAGGAAACAGAGTCTGAATGCAGAGTGGAAAAATTGCCTTAATTCAAGACAATGAAACCTGTTAAAGGCCAGTAGAAAGAGTGTGCTTGGGAAGGAGAATGCCCMAGTGCAAAGCATGAATTAACTGCCAGGTGTAGAGCAGAAGTGAAAGAGGTTTGCAAGTAAGAGCTGGTGGAGTGACGAAAAGATGAACTCAGGGCTGAATCATGGAGTAACTGTGCAAAAGGATTAATTCTTGTGTACTGTCTGGTGCTGATGAGGTCTCAGCTGGAGACCCRCTGCAGTTCTGAGCATGGTGTCCCRAAGTCCTGTGGGTTTCAGGTTTCATTTAGGTTTTGTTAWTGTGGTCCTGTTGTTGGTTATCCCTGGTATACAGTTAAGCCCCACACACCACCTGGTGCTCACTCCCAGTGGGACAGGGAAGAGAATCAGAAGGGCAATGTGAGAAAACTCATGGGTATTACACTGTGCAGGAATAGTTACACTATTTTGGTCACAGATCCAAAACAAGGCATCATGTGACTACTATGAAGGAAAATTAACCTCATCCCAGAYCAGTACAGTCCATAAAGAAAACCTAAACAAATCTGATTTTCAGTCTAGAAATGAGAATTTTGTTGGGGATGTAAGTCCAGAGTAATAGTATGTATACTGAAACCCACAGTTTTGACCACTGTGAGAAAAGTGGAATCTTCCTATGGGCGGTAGTAGGAATCTTGCTCTGCCCATTTGCTGAGTTGGTGAAAGAGAGGAAGAGGCTGTCTGGTGTGTGAAAACTTCCAACAAGAGAGTCTTCAAATAATCTCCTGTGCCTCAAGTCTTACCAGATGTCATCTGCATTGATCCTGACATAAACACAGTGAGCAGGGCCTGCTAGTTCTGTGGGGGTTTTAATGGTTTTTACTAATTCATTGGAGTTACTTTTGAACAGTTATTTTTGAAAGTTGCAAGTTGTAAGGGTTTTTTTTAAGTGTAAGGTAAGATTTTATAAGTGATGACAAAGAGAGAAGGGGATKAACCTAGAGCAATACTTTGTTCTCCTGTGCTGAATGTAATGCCAAAGGTTTGTTTTCAAATACTGGACTAGATTCTGGTCAGCCCAGAACAGCTCGGTACTTACCCATCCTACATGAGATTAAAATTCATCAATTTGATCCATTGATTGTTCCCTGTGCAATGACAATCACGTTTGGATTGTTCTGTGTTTTTTCTCTGCAGAGCCRTGTCAGATTGAAGTGCGATTGCTGCTGGCTTACAATTCTAAYAGGAGCAAAGCATCTACCAGAATTCCTAAATCTACCTGGAGTGAGAGCTTGGAGGCTCTCCCGCCCTCTGAAAATGGCATAGAGGGGACCATCCCCTTCAGCAAACCTGTCAAGGTGTATATAATGCCCAAACCTGCCAGGCGGTGAAGRCTGGTGCTGAAATAAACCTGTTTATGGGGTTTGTTGGGTTACATGTAAACAAGATGCTGTGTCCAAGGTAGCAAACCAAGCCAAAACCGCCTTATACGTGCATAAAGGGAGCCAGATGTCAAAATGGCTGTTGAAGAACAGTTGGTCTCCTAAGCAGCAGGCAAATACTGGAGTTACTCAGCTAGTTAGGAGTGGTTTCAAAGAAATGCAGGTTTTTCTATATTGACTCAACAGAAACAGGACAGTTCTCAATCAGCATTCCAGTAGTAATTTCACTGGGCTGTACCTTAAGGTTTTTTCTATCAAAAGTCTCTCTCCAAGGCCTCTAGATTTTCTGCTATGTATTTACTATGTAAATGCATGGGTACATAAATCAATGTTATTTTTACAGTACTCTGAAGTGAAGCTGAGGAGTTCAGTGTTTTGTGGGGGGTCATTGGTTTGTTTCTGGTTTGGGGCTTTTTTTGGTGTTAATGTCTAAAGCTTTATTTGTGCACTGGTACTTAATTTCTTAACAAAGAAATATCCTAAACGGTGCTATTGTTCTTGCATGGGAAKAGCACCTCAAAGGGAAATTGCCAAACGCTGTTTTACATCCTCTACAGCTGTACTGAAGCTGGTCCAGCACTGAGGGGAGGGCACAGGTTGTTCCTGGTGCAGGGGCAGGAGGAGCCTGTATGTGCAGGAGGCAGAACTCAGTCAGCAGGACATGGAGTTTAACCGAGCTCCGGCAACAAAGCAGTTTGTCTCCTGTTGCACCTTTGTACAGCTTGAGGGACAATGTGATTAAGTACCAGTTGGAATACTCCTGACCACATCCCACTAAGTTTTACAGGATCTGTTTCTGTGTGGTGATCCTGGCCTGAACCAGTCTTAGTGGGATGTGAAAATCTATGTTTTCAATTCAGCAGCACTTTTGGCACTCAAAGTCTGTCCTGTCAGTCAAAGTAGACAAAAACACTCTGTTCAGCAGCAGTTGGGCAGCTTGTCAGTGTTCCCCTCTGGAGGTGAGCTGGGAGTACAGAGGGACAAGAATTTAGTTAAAACAAGATCCATCTGGCATTCCTGTCAGAATATGTCTGAGCATCTCTTCTGTGTGCCAGAAGACTGAGCAGACTGAGGAACCTCCTAAGATTTGTAGCAATCCTTTGGTAGGATTTTTTACGATGACCTAATGTGTGAAACATTCTAGTGCAGCAGCCAAATGTTACCTGTGTTCATGAATCAGTCGGGGTTTTTTTCTTTTTTAAAGAAGATGTATTTTTAGCAAGTAAACAAATCAGTGAAGATACTTTCCAGTTGTATTTAGTGTAAATAACCCCTTACATGATTTCCTACAATAAAATTGGAAAACTCATGCTATTCTGTTTCATCTTTACTGTATGAGTGAACATGAATGCCTGCCTAGTCCTTGGCTAATAGGATTACTGCATGTTTTTTCTGATTTAAATTTTTTATCACTGGTAAGTTGTGGCCCAAAGCCTTATAACCATAACACTTTGCTGCTACTTTAGGTATTCTTGAATTAAGTACACTTTCGTAGTGCTTCTGCTCTTACAAACTGGGTTTTTGTGTTTCACCTTTAGGGCACTGCTTTGAAAATCTCCTGCCCATCTGACAGCTGAGTTATCATCTGACTTGTCTTTGGCATCCTTAGCTCAGTTCCCAGCAGACGGGGTTGATGTATCTCTCATTAGGAAGCAGTGTCTGGGCAGATACTTGACAAGTTGAGTGAGCTCATTACAGACTTTTTCTTCTTCCTCTCATTTTTGTACTTCACCAGTATTTCTTGCAGTTTGTCATCTCACTACCAAGTTTCTAATTTAAATGGTATCCATAGGCTCCAGACCACAATGGATGCTGTGGTAGGTACAGCAGATATTTTCAATACCAACATTTTGGCATGTTTCCCTCTTTTTCTAAGTATTGGATCAAGTTTCTACTATTTTGTTCCTCTCATGCTGTCCTTGAGCTCATTCCATATAACATACCAGGCAAAGAGTGAGTGCCTTCTGTGTTGCCACTGAGAATCAAATACTGCAGGGCTGTGGAAAAGTTCTTCCATCTGTAATTTCAAGATGCCTAAAACAAGCTGAAAATGCAATGCTATGAGCATTTCCAGTCTCTAATGAGGGCATGCCACAGTTGGCTTCTCTTCTGTAAATTTTTCTCTGATTCCTGGTTTGTATCACAGAATAAATCACAGCTTCTTCTTCTTCAGTTTCACGTGTGCAAGCAGATTCATCATCTAATCTAAACCTTCCCTCTTTCAGGTTAAAGCCATTCTCCCTTAACCTATTACCCCATGGCCTTGTCAAAAGTCCCCTCCAGCTTTCTTGTAGCCCCTTCAGGTTCTGGAAAGAGCTCTCAGGTTTCCCTAGACCCTTCTCTCCTCCAGGCTGAACAACTCCAACTCTCAGCCTGTTTCCATTGCAGAGGTGCTCCAGCCCTTTCAGCAATTTCATGGCCTCCTCTGGATTTACTCCACATGTCAACATCCTTATGTTGGGGGCTGCAGAACTGGATGCAGCACTTCAGGTGGGGTCTCACCAGAGTGGAGTAGAGGGGGAGAATCCCCTCCCTTGACCTGCAGCTGTGTCTTTTCTGGTCTGCCAGTGCACATTGTCGGGTCCTGTTGAGCTGCTCACCCACTAACACCTCCACAGTGTTAGTAAGTGCCCTCTTAGGGCTGCTCTCAATCCATTCTCCACCCAGCCTGTATTTGTGTTTGGGACTGGCCATTTCACACCATGTTCCAACACATGGAGAATAGGAAAGGAAATTTGTATAAAAACCAAGGGTTATTGTAGTTGTTGAAATCCAGATGTTGACTTTTTCTTTCCATTCCCAGGTTTGAGACATTTAGGTTTTTCTGCTCTCAAAAATACCAGAGTTCATGCTCTTTGTGTTGTCTCAGAGGAATACATGCCATTCACCCGTTGTCCTTTAATTCCGGATAATTGTTGGGTTTCTGCATTGCAATAGCCTATAAGATGATTGATCTCAGAATGAAAAGCAAAACAAAGGGCTCTAGTCATGCACAAAGATAATTTGCATCTTTCATCTCTGTTGAAGGGGGAACAGAGCACTTCAGATGACAGACACCCAAGTACGGGGAGATTCTGTTCTCTCTGATGGTTCCAAGTGTAGGAACAGCATGCCAGTASAGCTGCAGTCACAGGCAGATTGAGCAGTCTACAAAGGAAGGGCAAATAATTTTCTAGAAACCAACAATGTTCAAACCCCCTTCACCTCTGCATTGTACCTCCTAGGTAGACAGAAGGAAGAGGGAAAAGAATCTGGCTGAGCAAGGAAAATGCTGACCTCACATGAAAGGGGGGTAGCTTAGTGGTTTGAAAATGTGTTGTCCTATTTAACATGCTGGATTTAATTTACATATGGCATCTGTGTGTGTGGGAAACCCAGCTTTGAATGCTTTTAATGGGAAATTCATATTCTGATTGCTGAAGTATTTGAAATTCATTAGGCAAATCTGGAAGTAAATAATGCAACTATTGAGTCAAGAGCTTGTAAAATAATGCATAAGTGTATGGGGAACAAATTTGAAGCTTATGAGACATTAACTCAGACCTGGTGCGGCTTTCACCTATCTTATTTTAAAAAGTACAAAAGAATGGAAATGGGCAGGGACATTTACTGCAGAAGTACAAAGCAAGTTCTTGCGAAGGTGATAACAACACGGCATGAATTTACATTAGGACTGTATGACATCAGTGAATCATTTAGGTTAGAAAAGACCTGAAAKTGCATGAGTCCAACCCTAAACTCAGCACTACCCCAGCCACCACTAAGCCATGGCCCCAGGTGACACACCTTTTGAACACTGCCAGGGATGGCGACTCCACCACTCCCCTGGGCAGTYGGTTCCAATGCCTGACAATACTTTTGGGGAAGTCTTCCYAATACCCAATCTAAACATCCTCTGGTACAACTTGAGGCTGTTTCCTCTTGTCCTGTCACTTGTTACTGACCCCGCACTGGATACACCCTTCCTTCAGGGAATTGTAGAGGGTGATGAAGTTCCTCCTGAGCCTCCTTCAGGCTAAACACCCCCAGCTCCCTCAGGCCGCTCCTCATCAGACTTGCACTCTTTACCATACTGTTCAGGTCATCATCTTGGGTTCAAGCTCGGAGAGTTGCATTTTCTCTGGAATCCTGTCTTGCTTGTCTGAGTTATAATCACTTTTTTAATCTTATTTCACTGGCATCTTCCATTTTATTCTTAGTAACAGGCACCAGGAATGCAGAAAAAGCTGTCTTTTTACTTTACAGTTTGCTAATGGGATATCAGTGGGACTTCAGAATAGGAAGTTTGAAGGCTTGTGGTTGCCAGGCTTTGCACAAATGCTGCCCAACRTCCCTTAGAAGTGCTGGTCGTGTTGCATTTGGTGTCTGTGAGCCTTTTATGGCCTGTTTCTCCTGGCTGCCAGCTCGCACATGCTGCTTCACAAAGATAAGGGCTGGGACTGACCCACTCGGTGGCAGAGCAGCTGGGGTGGAATCTTCCTGGCTCCCAGCCCAGCCGCAGCTCAGCTTTAATTYCAGCGTCAGGGTGGGAGTTCACTGCCTACTGGGAGATCCTTTTCCTGGTGGGAGGCAGAACAGTGGTGTATGTGAGAAATCCTGCCCTATAAAAGTGCATTCCCATGATTTRGGCAATGTGCCCATAATTTTAACAAATTATTTATGGCTCTAGCTGAAAGCAGCAATTTAACAAAGATACCAGTTTGAGCTCTGCTGGAATTTTTTGATGAATCAATCCCAGCTGCTTCTACCATCCAGCAAAGCAATTTCAGGCACCAAGAAGGAAATCAGTGACTGGAGCAGCCCAAGTGGAACAGATGCTGTTGTGGGAACTGACAGCGCTGACTCAGGAAGCTGTGATGAGAGCAGCTAGAGAAGACATGGATGGAAGAGACTTCAGCAGATCATCTCCTTGTTGACACCAAAATTTTGTACTGGTGGTGGTGAAATTTAGAAGCTTGCCTTTAAGAAAAGAAATCCATTCCTTTGCACACTGCAGCTCCCTGTTTTGGAAGTGGAATCTTCTGCATCCTACCACTTGCCAAATGGAGGGAAGGATTAAGAGGCTGCAGCACAAAGCTGGGTAGGATACACCTCTAAAAGTCACCTGGCAATGCAAAACAGGCTCTGGCCTTTTGGGAGGACAAATCGTGTAGCAACAGCGGTGTGAGAAGTCCACAGTATTTGTCTCAAATGCAGAACCTGGGCTGTGCAGTTTGGGTGAATGTGGCATCACCATTAATGTGCCACATTAACATGAAAATATGTAAAAAAAAACCCAAGTAAAAAACAGACCTGGAGGAGATAGATAAGGTGTTTGCTCAACTTCTAACAGTGTAATGAACATTTCCATTTTTTAAGTACTGCAGTATCCTCTCAGCCGAAGCATTACAAAGCCTTTTCCTATTAGAGGCTGCGCTAAGGCCCAAAAGGCCATAAAATAACACAAATACATGACCAGGATCAAGAGAGTCAAACCATCTTCACTATCAGATAACAACATTTAGTGCAAAAAGTCTCCACACTCTGTGGGCTGGTAGGAACTCGTTCTGCTGGAATTCCCTTGGGATCACCACACTCGCACCTTCTCCTTCACACCAGGCAACTTATTCAGAAAAATGTCACAGCAGCTACTAGGAGCATTATACCAGCTGAATATCAGAGAAYACAGAYACAGCTGAAAAGGTAGTTTCTGCTGGTTATATGAGATTTTGCCTCAAATGTAGCTATACTAACAGAAAGCATTGCTGTAATTAGGAGATTGCAAGATAAAACTTTGCTTTTACACCACATTGTATTTTATCAGATAAAAGGTTCTAAATGATTACTAAAGCAAACAGACAGAAAAAGAACGTAGTATTGTGTGTGCCTTGGGAAAGTCATCATGCTCTCCTATCAATCTAAGCCTCTCTACTACTGCTTGTTTAGCTCCAACTGCCTCAGGGCTTTTCCAGCCTCATCTTGGTACTTTCATTAATACACACAGAATTATTATGCACAGAACAAGAAATAGTGAGCCTTGTGGGAAAAAAAATCTACAGTAGGTAACTTGCAACTGGCAATATTGATAGAAACCCACCAAGAACAGCAGCCAAGAGAACTTTTAAAATCTTTAGTGTAACAATAGGTTGGCTCATTTAAATCAGCAGATTATGATTGGTAACAATTCTCACATGCTTCCCCACCTTGCCAGCAGTAYCTTGCTAGCAGCAATTTAGACTGATTTCCTAAAGAACAATGTTTTATGCTGCAAACTCAAATTTTGTAGCATACTGTTCTGATGATTTTAAGCATGTAGGAACTTCTGAATAGATATGTATTAGACAACTTAATCCTCAAAAATGCCAATTAATAAGAACATTCTTTAAGGTCCAGGTTTTGTGTTTGTACCCTGTTGGTATTTTTTCCCCATTTCCAGGTTAAATGAAAAATTTAAAAGTGCTACATTATGTGATGTTAATAAATTGGCAAATACCTTGACTGAAATCACCTGCAGGAGGTAAACTTGCATGTTCTGAGATGGTTTTTAAATTATTTGATTTTTAACTTATTTATCCAGTGGTGGTAATTTGCTTCTTCACTCTTGTTTCATATCTACTGTTTGGTTGTGCTYATCAGCTATTTTATGGCTGCCTTTCAAGAGCCAATAATGTAATTTTGGGCCATTTTCTAGTAAAAGTACTCAAAACTTAATCTCCTGATTTAGTCAACAGGTGAAAAGTTAAATAAAAAGAGTATGGACAGCCTTCAGAGGAAAATTAGATCAATCTCAACAATACACGGAAATTATTCTGTAATTAAACAATTTAATTACATTAACAGCCCCCCTTTTGAGAGCTTTCGATTTGTTTAAATCCTGAACTAATAAACCATCCTTGCATGTTAAGACTGTCAGCACACAAATGCTTTGGCACTTTCATACTCTGCTGAGTGCAATTTAATGCAGGCGTGTCCGTGATTTGGCTGCGGGCCGGGAAGGTGGAAGGAGCYGCGCTTCAGCAGGTGGAATGGAAAACCCCGCCCACTTTGACTCCCTGAGCAGCCAGGGCATTGTACTCTGCCACAGCCTTCTCCGTTTGCAGCACCAGCACGTCAATCCCGTTCTTCTTCAGGTAGTCCACAGTGGACTGTGGAACCTTGGAAGAGAAAAGGAAATCAGAAAAGCAAGTATCTGATTGTTTTACCCTTAAACTTTAACACTTGTAGAAAGGCACGTACTGATGCCATTTGTTAAGCACATCTTAAGTAACTGCCAGTAGCCAAAATGTTAATGCTCAGATAGTTCTAAAATTGACKTTTTTCTCTTCAATAAAACTACTGTTATACACACAGCTCCCACATCTCCTTAGCACACTTTAAGATGCAGTCTTCTCTTACAAAAACAAATAGAACTGGAGCAAAAGGAATTTAMTCTAAAGAAGGTGTCATTCATCCCACCAGAAAGCTAAAGATTTGCTTTATATTAGTGACAAAAATGCCTAATTATCAAAGTATTTACAGCAGGCTACAGAGCCAGTTATAACCTATTGCAAGAGGAGGGGACTAATGACATTCTAAAAAATTCTTGTTTCAGTTGCTCCTATACCAGAACATAAACCTGTTTACTGCTTGACATTGACAGTAATACACAGGAGCTCAAATGATGTTTCTTTCAGGAGCTGAGGGACCCCTGACAGGAGGTTCATTCACACTGATCCTCAATTTTTTTCCTCTCAGTGAAGCATCATCGATTTAATTTTTCCCCCTCATCAGAGGGAGAGGGAAAACAAACMAATCTCTTTATGCTTGCTACAGAACAAAAACCTACCTGCAAAGCCTCACTCATGCCACGACCAATCACCAGAGTTTTAACACCCTTCTGGACGACTTCTTCAAGGTCAGCTGGCTGCACTCCTGGAGAATGCTAAGTGTCAGGGAACAGGGAAGGAAAATAATGATATGTGTAGGGACAGCATCACCCAGGATAGCTCTGTCTATATGTCCTGAACACAGAGCAGCAGGGTAAATTAGCCGTACCAAAATGTAACACAACCCTCTTCTGCACATATACACGTAGATARCATTAAAAACTGAAAAAGCTACTTCATATGCAGATGAAGGATGATAGTAAATTGATTGATGGGAAGATTATAATTCCTTTTTGAACAGTCAAAACCAAAAATATGCATTACACATTCCTAAAACATTTATGTCTAACTACTGGCATTTTATAAATGCTAACAGCTAAATTAATGAATTGCAACATACTGCTGTTTGATTTCAAGTTAACAAAATCTCCTTGTAAGAGAGAAAGGTTATTGCAAGCCAAAGTTTATTTACTTTAAATACAAACAGCTCCTCAAATAATTAAAATGATTAAACAGTTTTCTTGTTTGCTTTGCAAATCTCACCAAAGAGGACTGAAATGTATTGGGGAGCTTCATTTCAGTTAACAGTTTCCATTTCTGCACTATTATTTATTTTGAGAAAGGAATATTTGAAACCAAACTTCTCAGAGAAAGAAGGAACTTTTACAGTACATTAACAGAGGTTTTAAAGAAGTACACCCATTTACTGCTTTTAACACATAAATGCATAAATACACCTGTAATGCTAATATAAAATGTTATTATGTTACACTAATTCTCCTCCTGGATTTAGTTTCTGTGTATCTCCACATGGTCAAGAGTAAGATACTAAGCAACCTGTGGCTAGAATTTAGCCCCTCTTTGGTGTGCATTTTTATTTTTAAAGCTTAAATACTATTTCTCTCTTTTTTTTAGTAGAATTCTGAAGGTCGCAAGTTTTCTAGAGTTCTGAGATGAGTTTTTCACTTAAAGTAGATGGAGCAAGTAAGACTTTTCAAGCTGAAACAAACCCTTGAACTCCTAAAGTTGCAGGTGAAAAAAGCCTTCCATGGTAGAATGCCATTTTTAAGGAATGAATTAAATTTATTCCACAAGAAAGCCTTTAGCATGGCTGGTGTCTGAAATTTCAGTAACAGAGATGATGCACCTTTACGGGTCTCCAAGTCCACAGAATCACAGAAGAYCTCAARCTGGAAGGGATCCATAAGAATCACTCACAGGACTACCTTAAACTAAACCACAYGACTTAAGAGCATCATCCAGATGCTCCTTGAATTCTGACAAGCTTGCTCTGTGACCACTTCCCTGGGGAGCCTGTTCCAGAGCCCAACCACCCTCTCAGCRAAGAGCCTTTTCCTAGCAGCCCATCTGGATGTCCCCTGATGCAGCCTGACTGCATTTCTATGGGTCCTACTGCTGGTCATCAGAGAGGAGATCAGAACCTTCCCTGCACTGTCCTGCCTCTGGAAAGTGTAGACTGCAATGTGTTCACCCCTCAGCCTCCTCTTCTCCAAGATGACCAAGCCAAGTGACCTCAGCTGCTCCTCATAAGCCTTGCCCTCAAGACCTTTCACAATCTTTGTCACCCTCCTCGGAACACAGTCTAACAGTCCTCCTTGTATTGAGGTGCCCAAAACTGAACAGAACTCGAGGTGGGACTGCTCCAATGCAGAGCRGAGTGGGACAAGMACCTCCYTTGGCTGTGCTGTGCTCCACACTCTCCAGGACATGTCTGGGCCTTTGGGCTGCCAGAGCCAATGGCTGTGTTCCCCTTAGTCCATTTACATTCCATATCCACACCTGGAATGCAGAGGTCACTTCAACAGGCAGTTTTCTTAGACCAAGTCACTCWAAGTACATGTTTATAGCAGCATAGGCAATGCTTTTCCTTTTGTTTTTTTTTTTTTTTTAAGTAGACTTAAAACTTAGACAACAAGAAGTGGTATGTTTTACTGCAATTACAATAATTAGAATGCTAGAGAGGGCTTGCTGTCATGTGTGAAGCACTCCTGAGACATTAAAGGTATGGAACAAAAGGATTTTCTTTGGTTACACAAAACACATTGATGCTAGTAATAAACTAGTGTTACTGAAGAAAACATGTAATATGATGAAATAACTATTTTATTGCTGATTTGACAGCAGATTTTGTTGTCTGTTTTGTTCTCTGTCCTTCATTTCAGCATACCTACTTCTTTTTTTCTGCCATTAGCAGATGGCAGTGAAATGCAGCCAGCCAGGGAGAGAGACTGCCATTCATTCCCAAGGGTTAAGGCCACAATAACGATTAGTGCTTAGTTACAGAACCTTGCAGGGCCAGTTATACAATTTTCCTGATGAAAGAATGCTCCACTAGACAGCAGTGTGATAGCAGTGAAGGAAAGAAAGCAATTTATTTCCAACTAGAGTGTAGGACATGACCAGCACTGCTTGTTTTCCACACTTCAGTTCCAGCTACCTCCAGGAAAAACAGCTCAAAGAAAGTAGGCAAACTTTCTTTGTAGTAAAGTAAGTAGTAGTAAAGTAGACAAAAGTAGCCCATTGTAAAAAAATGGGCAGAAAATGCACCTGTTGAATTCTATTGTTTCTAGTGCTCCCCAGATTAACTTTTTTACAGTTCTTCTCAAGACTGAAGATGCAGTGCAGAAAAAACTTTTTATGATTAGACCATAAATTAAATACMATTTAAAAGGTTACATACACAGCTACCTTGCTCTCTGCAAGGTGCAGATACATTTGCATGACAGCACCATCTTTCTCTTGGTGTTACATAGTCTGYATAAACTGAGCTCTGACAAGTTAAAAAAGTTCTGTTTCCCCAAAAATTACAGGTGAAACTGCAAACCCAATGKTTCTGCACTTCAGTTGTGTTAAAATGAATTCAACAGAGCTGCATCCTCTGCATGGATACAGCTTCAGGTGCTGGGCCTGGTCAATACATCKTTATTTTTTGCTATAATTTTTGCTTTAAATGCATGGAACTTCCTTTTCCTAGCCAGTTACGTATCTCTGTGGAAGCCCTAATATGGGGAGAGTTATCAGCATGAAGTTCCTAATGCAGTATATGCCATACTGCTTCTAAATCTGGAACATCGATACTGCTCCATGWATTTTCATACAATTCTGATTGCATTTACAGATAAAGTTTAAAAATTAAGGACAAACACTGAGCATGTGGCTACCAAGGGATACTGTGATTAGCCAGTCTATGAGCTTTTCATGGAGAAACTCGTGCATGAGACACTGTATCTGCATATTTTTCCTCTGAAATAAGTACAAGGGACCCYCAAGGAAAAGGATATAAACGAAACCACATGCATTGTTGTCTTCCAAACATGCAAGGTCAGTTACTGTCTATTTTTTTTTTTTTTTTTTTATTTTTTTTTTATTTCTCATAATTTCTCTTCCTATCTCACTCAAGATATCTTTTGTTTAGACAGTCTGAATAGAGGTTGTTACTGGCATYTTATGACAACTGCACTCTTGACCAGAGGAAGAATGTTGTTTGAGAGCTCTAGTGCGTGTGAGAGTTGTCTGGTCAGGGTGGCTGTCAGAAYTCATGGCAACAGTTGCTACATCCTGTTACTTGTAGGATGTTGTACGACTGTGGCCCTCTGACCTCTCCACAGTCACCTTCAAAACATACACTCAGTTCTTCCCAGGAAAATCTAATGGCTAGATGAAAGAGGCAGCTCACTGAGTTTCTGGCTGGAACTTTAACAATGTTCTCTGGGCCATTCTCAGAGCCCTGTTTTAAATGCAGGGTAGTAAACAGCAAACTTACATTAGTCCCAGTTTCTCGCCAATCCCATGTTCTGCTTCCTCCTGGCCATACTTTGCAGTCCTTATATGTTGTAGAGCAGCCTTTCACCTTCATGTGACCCCATGAAAGGGAAGCAATTTCAGGGGAAGACATCACAAAGTTGAATCGAAGTCTGGAAAAAAGGATATTTAATACTTAACATCAGGCCAACATATGCAGCACATTAATAAAAATGGAAAATTCTGTCCTCGCCCCAAGGAGCTAGGAAGGAAATGCTATTACAGACTTTATCCACGTGATTTTGTGACAACAGACTTGAACTGAGGATCAGTAGATTTGTTGAATTACCAGTCCTCTTGGGGATTTYGTGCAGGATTTTGGGCAAATCATTTTACGTGCTAAATCTGTTCAAGTATTGGATGTTCAATTTTTAAAACTATCAACAGGGATCAGGTCCCAGAATATCCTCTCACATCTGGGTTTTAATCTTCTCCCTAAAATGCACAATGAAGATAATAATTTCCTAAAAATCAGAAAACTGCACTATTTCTTTGGTCACTCCATTAAATGAGGTTAAAAAGAAATGCCAAACAAACCCAACAGTAAAGCCATGGACCAAACAATGTCACTGTTATATTTCTATGGCAAACAAGACTTTCAGAGATGTAAAAGGGTCCAGCCTTTCCCCAGACACTGTTGCCAGAGGCCAAGTTTCCCASAACAGTTATATATTCAAATAAGAACTTATCTAATTGTTTGACCTCCATCTTCATTGTTTCAGCTTAAACCCTTTATTTCTAATCCTTTCTGTTGTGGACAAATAGAATAGCTAAATCTTTGTCTTTTCCACCCTTTTTTTTTTTTTTTTTTTTTNTTTTTTTTTCTTTCATTTAGAGTAAATAAATTTTTCTTCAGTCATGTTTTCTAAGTCTCTGCTTATTTTCTCCTTTTTTCCTTGGCAGCCAGCCACTTCTACACACATCTTCCTTTGATGTCTGTTGCCTAGAACTTGACAGAGCCTTATCAGTGTCTCTGTAGTCCAACTGCTTTTTGGTGTGTGCCACAGTGATGTTGAGATCTGCTTCCACAATCACTGCTGGGCACCAGCAGGGCAGGMACTCTGCCTCACAAGGCTTCGTGTCAGCTCACCACAGAAGCTTTCCCCTCCTCACAGTCCTTCATGGTACTGCAGTCTGATTGCTGAAGCTAGAAGTGGATGAAAAGAGAGGAATCACAGGGTGATGCTACCCTGGAAATGCTTTGGACTAGCAGGGCAGTCCACTGACACCTCTCCATGCCAGAGTCATCTTTCTGCGCTTCCAATTCACATGGTCTGAAATCCACATTTTGAAGAAAGCTTGTTGTTTCTCCAGTAAAAAGAGGTCCAGGTCCACCTCTGCCTAATTCAGAAAATCTCTGAGGCAGATCCTTCCAGATACACAGATTCCCATCCTTTACTTTTTAATTGTTTACTTTCACCAGGAATCAAATCGTTTAAATTCATCACATTAACCCTGGTGACATAGATTAAAGGCACTGTCCTTGCAAAAGAGAAATCTTTGGATGACCAGGCTTCCAGTCCTCCTGGAAGCCTTCCTTCCTGTCTTGCACGTGCTACAAAAGATGCAGCATTGCCAAACAGGACGTGCTCTCCTTGTATGGCCAGAAGTGGATCTCAGTACCCTGCCTAAAACATTGCATGAAGGGAAAAATGCATTACTTTGGATTCAGCAGGACTGAGTTTGCCAGAGGTGCTTCTCACAAAGGATAGCAATTCTTTCCCTTCTTTCTCCTGTGTGAAGTTAATGGCACATGTGTCCTGCCAAATAGGAAGCCAGGCAAGCAGCTAGAGGGGACTGAAATTTGTTTGGATTCTTATATYCTAGATCCTCTCATTGCACATCTATGATGCAATGGATTTAAATAAAGATTATATCTGAAGAAATAACCAGCAGTAATCCCAACAGATTGGAATCAAAGAGTAAATGCTGAATAAAGCATCCAGAACCTGGCTCTGAAGAATGCAAGTAATTTTTGCCTGTTCTCCTTTTCAGAAGAAATGGTAGAATCAGACCTGAAGGTTAAGCAGAGGTGAAAGAACAATAAAATKATCAGGAATATCACCTTCCCCAATCCAAGTAGTATCACAAGGCTGAAACGGTGCAATCAAAGAGGCACAAACTGCAAATGGGAGAGCAAGGATTCCATGTGATCTTTTTCAAACAGCACAAAAGTAAGTAAATAGCAGAAATGAACCCACAAAACTTACAAGGCATAAATGAAAATCTAAAACTATTTTGTATAATATTGCTAGAGATTATCAATAACATCAGGCCATTTGAATAAATAAGAGTATTTTAGACTAAGAATGAACTCATTGACAGAAACTTTGGGCATCCTTTGATGTAGGGTGTGGTCCAATCACTGAGGAGTAGGAAAATAGTTCTTGAACAAATTATTTTTTAAATTATTCACTGTGAAAAATGTTAAGTATCAAAATATACAGTAACATGATAAAAGGAGACCTTGAATTAAATTACTTGCAAGTACAACCTAAAATAGCAATTTTTGTAAACTGCAGTAGTACAAACACAAAGAGACAAGGAGCAGAAATGGCTCAGGACTCTATAAGAAAAGTCATGAGAGTTTAAACACATCAGAAATTAAGGAGGCAGAACTTAAAAGGAGGCAAAATGCAAGTTTATGCCAGRAGACTATACTGAAAGAGAGAAATGAAATGGTGTCTAAGGATAGCAAAAGACAAAAGCAGCAGAGAAGAAAGCGGAAGAAAGCTGAGATTGAATTGCAGTCAAGCAAGCTACTGGATTTTAAGACTTTCAGCACACCTTTCTTCTGTGGAGGTAACCGGCACCAAATGGAATARAAGAGGTTAATGAGCGCAGTGCACCAGATAGTATTTTATTGAGACACTGCAGAAGGACGTGTCGTAAAATCCAAGGGGCAACCTGAGACCGAGRAGGATAAAAGTGAAAGAGTAAATCGGTGTACGTGAAGTTTGGGCAAACTGTAAGGTGTCAGAAGACAATGTGGTTCTCCAGCGCTGGGTTAGGAGGTGGGCGACTTCCCATTCCAGGGGATACAGCAGCCAGAGGCAGGTCAGGATTAAAACCTGACAGGAGCAAGGCAAATAGAAAGGACGGGAAAAGTTTAGTTCAACTGCTTAGGGAGGGGGAAAGTGTTAAGTTCACGAAGGAGGAAAACACAGTTGGGGAATTCGGCAATCCTATTTCGCTGGGGAGCCTTATAGGGACAGTTAATCTGGGAGGTCACGAGAGTCTAGTAGTAAGACAAGAGAGAGAACAATATTTTGTGAATACTACGGAGAGAAGCAAGGACAGAGAACACAGAGAAGCACCGCGAGGGCGCGGAGGAAGGTAGCAGGGAAGGGAAAGTGCAGTTCAGGACTCCATGAAACACGGCCTGGCGTGACAGGGCACAAGAACCAGAACCGCCGCCGGCCCGGCCGCTCCCGCCCGCTCCCCTCAGGCCGAGGGTCCCTCAGGCACCCGCACTCACCGCCCCGCGAGCGCGACCCCACGGCCCCGCCGGGCCCCGCCTCCGCCAGCCCCGCGGGGAGGGGGCGGGGTCACAWCTGCCAYCGCTCATTGGCYGGAGCTCCCGCCGGCCCCGCCCCCTGCCCATTTCGATTGGTCAGTCCGTGGGTCTGTCCCCACCCCTGCCCCGCCTTGTTTTCATTCCCCCTCGCCGCGCGCGGCGGAGGGGAGCCGGCTCGCGCCGCTCTGGCCGCCGCCCCCTGCCCTCCCCTGCCTTCCCCGTACCCCCGGTGCATTGTGGGATAGTGGCGGCCCGGCCCGGCAGCGCCCCCTCCTCCCTCCCCCTCCCCAGCTCCTTCTCCATCCCCAGGTCCAAGATGGCGGCGGCGGCGGCTCCTCCGGCCCCATCCCCGCCGCCCCCTGCCCCGGCAGGSCCGCGCTGCCCGGGCTCCTGGCCCAACTTCGCCGTTGTCTGCTCCTTCCTCGAGCGCTACGGGGCCCTGCTGGACCTGCCCGAGCTGCCCTTCCCCGAGCTGGAGCGCGTCCTGCAACCGCCGCAGGAGCCCGGAGACCAGGGTGAGCGACTCCGATACCTCCCCTCGCCCGCTCCGGGGCGGCCGGCTGAGGGGGGCCCGGGGGCCGGAGGGGGGCCGGGGCTGTCCCCCCCCGCCTCCTCCCGGCCCCGGGGGTGGAGCGCGCCGAGGGAGAGGAGGGGCCTGGGATTCCCGGGGGGAGGGGAGCCCTCTCTCCCTGCTTTTTTTTTTTTGGGGGGGGTTTTTTTTTTTTTTTTTTTTTTAGCTATTTGTGCGTGTATGTAGGGGGGAGAGCTGCGTCCCTTCGCGGCGAGCACCAGGAGAAGGTGGGGGACTTCCCCCTCCCCTCTCCTCCCTCCGAGTCCCGCCTGTGACCCCCCTCCGTCCCTACCTTCCCCCCCTCCCCCTTGTTTCCCTGGGTTCGTTCCCGAGCTCTATGCGGGTGGGACTCCTTACAGAAAGGAAGGATAAACCGAAATAACTATTTTCGCTTGGCTGTGGCAGCCGGGCTCTCTTCTACCTCCTCCCTTCCCCATAGCTTGTGGGGCGCTTCATAGCCTCCCCCCCCCCATATCTCTATCCACTTTTACATTTCCCCCGCAGCAAGAAGGGGACACACACACACACACACATACACATACAAACACACGGGGATGTCCTGATACCGCGTCGTCCCGTCCCCCCCGTCTGCCCCTTTCCTCTCGGTGCATGAGGGACGAGGAAGGGGGGGGCACGGAGAAGCCTTGAGCCCCCTCCCGGCTGCCTGTTGTGGGCCGTCTCCTCCCCACAAACACAGACAGCCATTGTGTGCCACCTCCATCCCTCTCTTCTCTCCCCTCCTCCCCCCCATCCCTTCTTCCAGTTGCGGGGGGCGGACAAGCTGTGGCYGCTCGCTGCTGCTCCCCCGCCGCCACCTGAGACGTGCGAGGTGGAGGGATGGGCTATGCACTCCGCTGTTTGCTTTCGAGCTGTTCTTCCTCTCTTCTCCCTCTCCAGTAGCAGGTTCGCTTGCCAGACCCTCTAATCCCAGCTGCCCGCGATGGATGCGGGAGGGCCTGGGCCAAAGGAGCAGCCTGGGGAAGGAGGGCTGTGTGGAGGCGGCCGCAGGAATACAGAGGGGAGGGAGCTTGTTGCTCTTGATCTCTTGTCTCTGTTATTCGTTTGGTTGTTGCCTCTGCACTCTTGCCACATAGGGAGCCCGTGCAGCTCACGGCGCATGCTCGGCAAGGCCCCTTGGAAACTTCCTGCTGCTGGAGAAGCCCGGCTCAGGGCTGCTTTTGGTCCGGCAGCCCCTGCATTTTCCCCAAAACGCGCTCGCTCTCGCCTCCTTCCCCACCAAGCCCACKCTGTCCGCGGAGGGGAAAGGGGTGTTATGATTAAATCGGCGTGTAGGTGTTTCCTCATATTAAGGAAGTTGCATTTTGCTGACAACAGGTGAATTCACAACAACCCCTGCTGAAATAGAATGTAATAAGATGAGTGTGTTTTCTACTCATGTTGTCTGTCAATATGAAATAGACAGCTGAAATCTACAAACTTCTTGAAACAGGGTTAATTTCGTGGAAAATAGATATTAAATTCCCCACTACTCCTATACCTCTTACGTTATATTAAAGGACTTATGAGAAAAAACATTGTTTTGTTAAAGTGTTGCAAAACTTATTAAAAGCACCAACAYATTCAAAAGTTTGAATTTTTAGTGAAAATAGTAATTTTAAGGTGATGTCTGCCAAGAAAATTGATGCTTTTATTGTGTGGCACGAAATGAGTGGATGTGTGAGAGTAATTTAGTTGTTTGAACTGCAGAATAAATTAAACTGAAAGGGTGAGATAGTGGCCTATGTTTTAAGAATATACATTTTATTAAAAAAAMCCCAAGCACCATAATTCCTGATGACTTTTAATTGCCTGATGGGGGTTGTCAAGAGGGTAGTGTTTACTGCATGAGTATTTTCTAAAAAGCTTTGAAATGACTTGTGTTATGGAGCTTGCTTTGTGGATTAATTTGATACTTGTCAAAATTTTAAACTTTCCTTTGTGTTACCCTTCCTGTTTGGTGGAGGACAGGTTGTTCTCCTAGCTTTAGAACAGGCCCCTCCCCAAATGGGACCTTCTGAAGATGGGATGTCTGAAGTGCTGGGGTTCTTTGCTTATGCCTGGTGTAGATGATATAATTGGAAAGATAGTTCTCATCTCTAAGAAAGAAAGCGTAGAGGTGTGAAAAACAAACTTGGATAATTCTTGATGTTTTGTGTGTTGATTGGTGAATGTCATGGATATCTTTTCCCTTGATAAAACCATGTCCTTGTGCTTGGTCTGTGGTGCTGGTACCTGTTACCTGGTGTATTTTAAAATTTTGGGAAAATGGCATCAGTGACTGGAATTGTCTAYATGGTTTTTGCTTCAAGTAGTCTTCAAGGTGGTGTTTTTAAAGGTACAAATTATTTTTAAGTTCAAGCTTAACACTGATTGAAAACTGAAGACTCTTTTATTTCTGAACGCCTGTTATTTACAACTCTTTGTTGTTTTCCTTGCAACGCAAAAGGAATTTTGATTTCAGTTTGTAGTATACAGTTAGTTTCACTTTTGATACCAGCATTTCTTGATAGTGAATTTGAGTGACATAACAAAATTTAAGGAAATAACTACAGAACTTCAAAATACTGKTTTTTTCCTGAATTTTTATAAACTGGAGCCAGTTTTAAATCTGAACTGCCACATAACATCTATTTGTGACTCCTCTTTATATAAATTTTGCTATCAAGGAAGGGAATCAATAATTTGAGGGTTTTCTTAAATATCTTTAAAACTGTTTTGATGCTCAGCAGTTAAATTTTTTTTTTTTGTGGTTTTTTTCTTTTTTTTTTAAACATGGCCTGTATTGTCTTGCCTGAAGAGTTACTCCTGGGAGATGCCAGCAGAAGTTACTTCCTTTATATTAGGAGCCCCAAGGAGAGTGAAGAGCTTAAGTTTGAATGTTGGTCAATAGTTGTATAACAATCATATTTTCTTTCCTGTTAATAATTAGAACAAAGGAAACATTATTAGGAAACAAGGTATAACCTTCCTGTACAGGAAGGGATGCTGAGCAGATGCTGACAGCTAGGAAGCTGTCAGTTATTTTTTAGAGAGTTTTTAGATTTTTGTTATTGCATAGATGGCACTTGAGCTTTGCTGTATTACCTCTCCTTAACTGAGAATTTCAAGACCCATAGTAAGRGCAGCAGCGCTCAGGTATGAGTAGTTTTCAACAGTAGTCTGACTAATTGAGACAGCAAATTAACTTTTATTATATTAGATGCTTTAACTCATTGTACACAGGTTGGGATTTAGTGGGTAATATAAAACGTACTTGATTGAGAAGATACGAATGTGTAGTGTTGATTTAACCCATCRCTACTGAATAGTGGGTTAAGCTGACAGACCTGGAACTAGTCTGCTTCTTACAAAAGCTCTGTGATAAGATAGCTTAATTTTTCTGGCTGGTGGTTGATTTGAAATTTGCAACCATTCAAAGAAAGTAACAAGACCTATAGTTATCTGGTGAAGATTTTATTTTATGGAGAATAATTATCTTGCCTTTATGGGTGCTTATTATTGCTTTAAGTACAATGTTGTGACTTGGGTTGCAATTTTGATGATCTTTAATGTCTTAAGAAGGAGTAAAGTTGAGTGTTGAGTGGCAGTGTTACCTCACAGATTTTGCTAGTTGATATGCCTCWGATAGTAAATTATTTATTCTAGTGTTTATTTAAAAGCAACTGCTGTGGTTTACCGTGGTTGGCAACTCAGCCCTGTGCAGCCACTCACTTTCCACTGGTGGGATGGGGTAGAGGATCAGAAGGACAAAATTGAGCAAACCCCTGGGCTGAGATAGAGACGGTTTATTCGGKAAAGCAAAATGAGGAATTCATTCCCTGCTTCCCATGGACAGGCAGGTGTTCAGCCATCTCCAGGACAGCAGGACTCCATCACATGTAAGGCTGACTCAGGAAGACAAACACCAGCCTTCCCAATGTTCTAGTCTTCCTTCTTACTGCCCCAGCTTTACACGCTGAACATGACACCACATGGTCTGGATATCCCTTAGGTCATTTGGGGTCAGTTGTCCTGGCTGTGTCCCCTCCCAGCTCCTTGTGCACCTCCAGCCTCTCACTGGTGGGGTCTGTGAGGAGCAKCAAAGGCTTTGGCTCTGCGTGAGCACTGCTCAGCAGTAACAAAAGTAGCTTGGTATTCACAGTCACGAGTTGCCCAGAGAAACTGTGGTTGCTCCATTACCTGGAAGTGTTCAAGGCCAGGTTGGATGGGGCTCTGAGCAAGGTAGTCTAGTGGGGGGTGTCCCTGCCCATGCYAGGGGGTTGGAATAAAATTATCCTTAAGGTTCCTTCCAACCCAAAGCATTCTAGGATGATCAACACTGTTATGAGCACAAATCCAAAACAAAGCCCCATACCAGCTACAGTGAAGCATATTAACTCAGTGCCCTCCAAGTTCACCACAGCAACCCAATACATGATTTTAACTGGAACTGATGATGGCTGAGAGCTGTCATTACAGCCATATTACTATACTTTTAGATGCAAAACTGAGATAATGATGCAATCATCCTGCAGTGTGCTGTGGTACTGCATCTCCTTTGCCTCTGTTTGCTTCCAGAGGCAAAACCTGCAAACTGGAACAAATTATCACAGGAAAGCAATACTTGTTCTCCTTGTTCTAGTGAGCATATGCTGTGGTGGCTTTTTTGTTTGCCTGGGATTTTTTTTTTTTGTTTGTTTTTTTTTGTTTTTCTTTGGGGTTTTTTTTGGAGAGTTTTTACTTGCAGTAGAAGAGGAGTTGCAAATTTAAATAGTAAAAAAATGTGGCAGAGGGGAGCAAGAACTGTCTGTATTTAGGGCTGTGTTTAAGGAACCATGCTATCAAGTCCCCATCTCTTTGTGTCGGTAAATAGCTTGAGAATCGGTATAAGTGTTAATTAAGCATTTAGTCTCTTGTGAATGAAAATATTAGTAGAATGTTAGCTTGCACAACAGAGATCTAATT